GAATGGCTGTAAGTCGAGGACTGCCTGTACAATATGTTGTGTCTTGGGCTAAAAGTAGCCAGAACTAAATGCAAATAACTCAACAATCAGCCCAATATTCCGAAGACCAACTTGGACAAAATTTGCCCCAGCTGGTCGCACACATAGTTAAGATAGTTTAGTACGGTTTTGTGGGTTTCTTTTGCACTTAGATTTCAGCTGGCTGTAGGCATCCTGAGAGGAATTTTCTCCTGGGTGTTAACCAGCGGGGGATCTTTTCTCTTTGCCAAAATTTGGACATGAACTTCCTGAAACATGGGAAGCCTTTCGCTTGAGGCACAACATCGGTTGTGCCGTCACCGAGGCGGCAGACAAGCACAAGAGAGAGAGGGAGAGAGAAATAATATGTACATCCTGTGCTGAGTAACTCCAGATGGTCTCCGAGCCCTTATCTTGGCTCTTTGCTGTGAAGGAAATCCTATTTGTGAGTCAAGAGTTGTAAGAGTTGTTGGCTCTTTGTGGTGACATTTCCTTCTTTGGTGACCCCTTGAGGCAGTGAATCAGAGCTAGGCTGCCACCTCCAGCAACTCGACAAGGGTTTCCAGATTGATGGGCCGCATGATAAGGCCTTGGCTAGATCGCTCTTGGAATCCTGCATCCAGTTTTGGTCACCACAATACAAAAAGGATGTTGAGGGTCTTAAAAAGAATGCAGGGAAGATGTGACAAAGAGGGTTAGGGGGCTGGAGGCTGAGACATAACAAAGAACGGGTGCAGGAATGGAGTATGACTAGTCTAGTGAAAAGACAGATTAAAGGTGATATGATAGCTGTCTTCCAGTATCTGAGGGGCAGCCACAAAAAAGAGGGGGTCAACCTATCCTCTAAAGTATAAAGCACCTGAAGGCTTGACAAGAAGCAACGGATGGAAACTCATCAAGGAGAGAAGCAACCTAGAACTAAGGAGAAACTTTCTGACCATTAGAACAATAAACTAGTGGAATGGCTTGCCTTTAAAAATTGTGGGTGCTCCACAACTGGAGGTTTTTAAGAGGAGACTGGACAAACATTTGTCTGACACAGTATGGGGGTCTCCTGCTTGCAAGGTTGCTTCCAACTCTGTTGTTCTGTTATTCAGTTAAGACTTTGGTTAGGAAGCTGACACGGTCAGCTAGAAATGTGCAAGGGATGCACCTGGATTGCTGCATTAATTGTGCGTGGCGTGAGATGTGTACAAATCACATCTTTAGACAGCAACAACTCCATTAAAGAGGCCACAGTGGGTTGCACATCTGGACTTTAGTGATGTCATCTGGCTGATGCTGGGATATTTTCCTTCTTTCTGGGCTATTGTTCTGACCACTTCCCCGGAGATATATTTCTTTCATCCAAACCTCTCATCATATCTGGTATTCTTTCTTCAGTAGCTGTTAGCTCTTGCGAGGAGAGAGAGAGAGAGAGAGAGAGAGAGAGAGAGAGAGAGAGAGAGAGAGAGAGAGAGAGAGAGAGAGAGAGAGAGAGAGAGAGAATAAAATCTACAATGAAATTAGGGATCGGTTGAGCTCAAAATGAGTGGCAAAAAACCTCTCTGTTTTAAGAAACATTGGGGCGGGGATATAAACATCAGTTTTCTTTAAGCAGAAAAACGAAGTTTATATTTAATGAAGTTTATATTTATATTACAAATATTCCCCCTTTAAATCTACCATATAGATATATTGCTATTTCTATCTCTGTCTCTCAGTCTCTTTATCCTATCTATCTATCTATCTATCTATCTATCTATCTATCTATCTATCTATCTATCTATAATCTATATTTATATCTAAATGTTCTTGTTCCTCATTTGACGGGCTGCAAACCAGTTGATAAGTGATGCCTTCCAATAAAATCAAGACTATTAGAACAAATATACAGATTATTCTGTGTATTTTATAGCTGCCTATGAACACAAGGTTTGACCACCAGCCTTGTCCTGTTTATTTCTTTTAGATTCTTGGAAAGTTGTCATTTTACAAATCATGTTAATGCCATGAAGCATCATCTATTTTTCAGAGTGAAAGGAATACGTTTTCCATCTAATCATCCCTAAAAAATAATTTAAAAAATGGCAGACAACTATAGCTCAAATGTATTAAGGAATGCATCCAGCTGTCTAAAAATGGAGGTGTAGGGAAGTCAAGGCAATATTTCTCCACCTTGTGACTTTAAGATGTGTGGAACTTCGGTTCCCAGAATTCCCCAGCCAGCTGTTCTGGCTGGGGAATTCTGGGAGTTGAAATCCATTCCTCTGAAAGTTTCCAAGGTTGAAAAAGAAGTAGCTTAGAGAATGAACGGACAGGTCAAATTTTGTGAACGCCTACGGCCATCGATTTTTTTTTGTGAGTCCACTTGTGTCGTGTTATCCCACTCCTAATATCCCTTTGCAAGACAAAAAAATTCCTTCCCTTTAGTATTATAATATCATTAAGCCATTGTCAACTTAGGTGGGTGTTTTAATTTGAAATCCTTCTGTTGGGGAACCCTAACAAAGTCTGACAGACCAAAATTAATCACCTCTGAATATGGAGTGGGACGATGAAGAAGCTGTGAGTAAGAGCCTAGCAAAGAGTCAGAAGTATATTTAGAGCTAAACACATCGGCCCCGGTCCACTTCATCTTGCTGATGTCAGTTTGGCAGAGAGGTGCAAAACATTTTGATGTCAAAGGATCACAACTCCATATTACTGAATTCTGACCTTCCTGGAAAACTGCTGATGTGCTTCCAGTTTTCCTGCTTCCTATTTTGAGCTTGCCGGAAGCATTGCTATCTCAAAGTGGAATGTTCCTATATTTGCTTTAACCATGAAATTTTCTGCACAACTCAGAAAACGTAAAATAAAAAAATGTTTTCTGACAGGGAACATGCCTCTATCCTCCTTCAGGATTCTCACATTCCTGTTGCGCTTCAGGGCACCAGTTTGTTTTCTGCATGGACCACACCCAACAGGAGTGTCCTCCTACATTCAAAGGACTCCCTAGTCATGGAAACGCAACTTTACTTACAAGTCCTATGTTCAGGGATCACAATGAGACAATAGGAATAGGAAAGGAATAGAGTAGAATAGAATAGGATAGGATAGAATAGGAAAGGAATAGAATAGAATAGAATAGAATAGAATAGAATAGAATAGAATAGAATAGAATAGAATAAAGCTGGAAGGTACCTGGGAGGTCATCTAGCCCAACCCCCTGCTCAGGCAGGAAACCCTATACCATTTCAGACAAATGTCTGTCCAGTCTCTTCTTGAAAACTTCCAGTGATGAAGCATCCACAACATCTGAAGGCAAACTGTTGTTCCATTGGTTGATTGTTCTCACTGTCAGAAAATTTCCTCTTATTTCTAGGTTGAATCTCTCCTTGACCAGTTTCCATCCTTTATTCCTTATCTAGCCTTCAGGTGCTTTGGAAAATAGGTTGACACTCCCCACCTGCGTGGTATGTGACAGCTGCAGATTGCTGCTGTAAACCCAGGTTGAGTCAAGAGCCATGGAGGCTTGTGACCAGCTGAATGCTAAAATAATTATATGAGATACAGCTGCAGACCCCTTAACCCTGCTTAGCCAAACTTCCTGATGAGAAACTGTAAAGGAGCAGGTTATTATGGTTGGCCTGCTTTAGGAGTGTCCCTGTCTACGATAAATCTTAGTTTGCAGATGTCTGGTCTTGCACGATCCATGATCTTCCAGCCTCACTTATTTTAACATCGGTGCAGATTGAGAATATCTTCTCCTAGTAATCCACATATGATGAATGGGTGATGAACCAGTATAACTGAGGATGATATTATCCATTCAATTATGTCCCAAGTCTTGGCGGTTCCATGAGCCAGTGGAATCCACATCTTCCAATTTTGCAATGCTTCTCTGAGTTGTTTTATGTCAGGGGTCTTCAAAAGTGGCTCTTTTATGACTTGTGGACTTCAACTCCACAAGTCGGCCAAGTTTAAAGACCCATGGTGTATGCTCTGGCTGGTGTCAGCTTTGATGGTGTCCAGCCACTGTGCTCTTTGGCAGCCTGGTTTCCTTTTACGGCTAACTCTTCCAAGCTTTCTCCAGTGAATTCCCTTGCATGACATGGCCAAAATAAGTGAGATGCAGTTTTGTGATTTTTGCCTTCAGTGGCATGTCTGGGGTTAACCATATTTCTCCGAAAATACAACCGGGTTTTATATTAATTTTTGCTCCAAAAATTAGGACTTACTTTCAGGTGATGCCTTATTTTTTTTTTCATGCACAACAATCTACACTTATTCAAATAAATAATGTCAATGGTATTATTTAGTTATGTTTAATTACGTATTAAGATGATTGTTTTATAATTCAATACATCCGTTGTGTGTTGCAACGGACGAACTAAATGCCTCCATCTGGCTGATGATCTTAATTGGGGGTTATTTTGGGGGTGGGGCTTATATTACAAGCATCCTGAAAAATCAGGCTAGGACACAGATCGGCAACCTGCGGCTCCGGAGCCACATGTGGCTCTTTGAGCCTTCTACTGCAGCTCCCAGTCCTCCGCCATTTGCAGAGAGACAGAGAGAGGCACTTGTACTTCCTTTCTCTCTCTCTCTCTCTCTCTCTCTCTCTCTCTGTGTGTGTGTGTGTGTGTGTGTGTGTGTGTGTGTGTGTAAAAAAGAGAGTGGCCTCACGGTGTTCTCTGACAAGCTGACAAGCTTATTGGGTGGGGCTCCTGCCTTTGCTGTGTCTCCGCAGAAAGCAGCAGCTCTCTCTCTCCATATACATATAGAGGGGGGGGCTTATTTTCCGGTTGGGTCGTTTTATGGGAAATATGGTAGGCATTCCATTATTTGCTTGTTCGTCGCCTTTGCTGTCGAAAGAAGACATCGAAGCCTTCTCCAGCACCAGAGCTCAAATGAGTGGATGCAATACCTGTTTGGTTGTCCCGCTTCTTGTCCAGAAGCCATCCACCTGGCTGCAGACATGTGCCAACTGCCTTAATGCCATCTTTGTTCCCCAACAGGTTCTCAAGAGTCGGACAGTTCTCAGTCTGCCAAAAAAGACATGTTGGCCGCCTTAAAATCCAGACAGGAAGCCCTGGAGGAGACGCTGCGGCAACGCCTGGAGGAACTGAAGAAGCTGTGTCTCCGGGAAGCGGTAGGCGGCGGCAGCAGAGATGCTCCCTTTTGAAGAGTTTTGTTAAAATGATCATGATCTGAACCACAGATGAAAATAAGGATGATGGGAAATAGGGAAGGGGGAAGAGAGGTGTAGGTATAGGGGGGAAGGAAAGGGAAGGAAAAGAAAGAAAACGAAGAGGAAAGGAAAGGAAGAGGAAAGGAAAGGAAGAGTGAAGGAAAAGAAACAAAAGATCCAACTTTTTTCAGCTACAAAATAACTACAAAATAAAATGACAACCTCAATATTTTAACTTCACCAATTTAACAAATACCAGCCATTTCTGTAACAACCAACTGTACTAATCGGCAAAACTCAATGCCATGGGGTTTTTTTCTGTCTCAAGCACAAAGCCCAGAAGTGGTTTCCAAGTAGAAGCAAAGCTGGATGTGTTCTTTTCTCTAATTAAAGCGGTCAGTTTTGCCATATCTGATAACTCCTATCACTTTTCATCCGTCCGTCCATTGAGGGGTTTGAAGGCAGAGAGATGCTTCTAATCAATAAAGGAGAATATTTGTAGCTCAGAGTTGAAATGAGGGGTCCTTGGTGCGCTCTGAGCTGGGTGGGTTTCTTGCAGACGTTTCATTACCAAACTAGGTAACATATTCCGTGTTAGGGTCATCATTAGTACGGATGACTTTGGGCCATGAAACGTCTGCAAGAAAACCACCAAGCTCAGAGAGCACCAAGGACCCCACAGTCGTCGTCCTCCTCCTCCTCCTCATAAGCCCTACTCTCTTCAAGCACTGATGATGTTCCCTAGTTGGGTCATGAAATGTCTGCAAGAAAACCAAGCTCAGAGAGCACCAAGGACCCCACACTTCTAATGCAAGTTAGAGGCAGTTGTACCCAACAAAGCCTTTCATAGGATATGGATATTATTCCTAATTCCCTGTTACTGCTATCGAACAATTTGTGTAAAATAAAATAAGTCAGCCCTTCCTCTCTAGAAGATTAAAAGAATGAACCAGCTTGGGAATCCCTTGACTATTGAGTTAAATTAAAAATTAAAAATATAGTGTAGGAGAGGAGACATTTGACCCCACTCTTGTGCTCAACCTGGCTCATCTCCTATAAATAGAGAGGTGAAAGGCCAGATCTGACTTTTAATGGTCTCCAGGCCAGAATTTAATTGAAGTGGATCCAGTTTTATTTGCTGGCTGCAGATGACTATGCCATTTTTTTTTTATTTATCTGATTTACACCCCACCTTTCTCCTTAAGGGACCAACAGGTGACCATATGCAGGTTCTGCTCAGAAAGCAAAATTGCCTCAGCTGACACATAGAAAAACAGTTAGATCCTTAATTATATATGCATTTCACTAAGTTGCAGTCATTATGTTTTATTACACTTGCAGATCAATGTAATTAGGAGGTTATTTATGTTTAGTTTCAATGATTGTGTGGAAAAATTTACATTTTGCTTCAGCGTGAAACTCAGCAAGTTCTCCGCCTTATGAAAATGAAATTTATCTGTCTCATCTCAGGTAATTTTTTTTCCTGAAAGGATTAGCCAGCTCCTGATTCCTGAGAATTTTCTTTAGTCTCTGTTCCTTCTGAGATTTCCATGGACAGGGAAGCATATGTTTTCCAGGTAGTCCTTGACTTACGACCACAATTTTTTTTTTTCAAATTTTATTTATAATACAGTTAAAAACAAACAAACATTGGATTTGACATGATATTCCAGTATATACATTCTTATCAGATTATTCTACTTTTTACAATCAATTCTTCATCTCTACATATACATCTAAGTTTTATGTACAATACTTGTTCTAAAATGACATGTATTTCTATCTTAACATTCATCTTTAATCCCGACTGTCCTCTTCAAATTCCTCCAGCGGTAAAATTTATCCCAGGTTTCATAATAAACTGATCCACATTTGTCTTTTAATATCATTGTGAGCCTGTCCATTTCCGCACAGGCTAATATTTTATGTATTAACACTTCCTCTGTGGGAATTTCCTTGCTCTTCCATTTTTGCACTAAAGCAAGCCTAGCTGCAGTCAGAATGTGTAGCAGCAGGTAGATTGTTCCCTTGTCGTATTTTATTGACTTACGACCACAATTGAGCCCAAAATTTCTGTCGCTATGCAGGACAGTCATTAAGTGAATTTGGTTGGCTGGGGAATTCTGGGAGTTGAAGTCCACCTGCCTTGAAAGTTGCCAGAGTTGGGAAAACACTGAATTAGTAACACGGTTGTTAAGTGAATCTGGCTTCCCCATTGACGTGGCTTGTCAGAAGGTCGCAAAATGGGATCACATGACCCCGGGACACTGCGGCCGTCATAAATACGAGTCGGTTGCCAAGCGACTGAATTCTGATCACAGGACCACGGAGGGGGTGCCTCAGTGGTCGCAAGTGTGGAAAAACGGTCCTAAGTCGCTTTTTTCAGGGCCGTTCTAACTTCGAACGGTCACTAAAGGAACCGTCGTAAGTGGAGGACTACCTGAATTCTCTCTTTCAAGCAGGGTTTGCTATTTCTCAGAGGCTGAATTCTGTCCCCTGAATGCAGTTATGACTATTGGTGCACCTTTAAACTCAACACTATCAAAAGCCGGGATCCTTCTGTTTGTTTTTGCCTCAATCCTTTCCCACCTCTGAGCAAAACAACGGATGGAAGAAAAAAAACAAAAACAAGGAAGTCAGCAGAAACGCTTGACCAGTTAAACCTCACAGGATCATTTCTTTCTTTCTTTTTTCTTAAGTCCTCCTTGGGTTGGAGAGTGTGAGTCAGGGGTAAGAGGTTAGCAGAGGTCAAGCAAAGGGGATGCCTTAACATTTTTTGCTGAAACGACCCTTGTAACATGTAAGTAAATCAATCCTCCTCCGATTTTGCTCTAAACTTCTCTGGCTAGTCTGCCATAAATCATCGATTTTCCTGTGGGAATTGCTGGCTCAGAGAGGGGCAATTAAGTCTGCCCCCCCCCCCCAACTATTTGCAACAGTCAAGCATCGGGTTTCTGCAGGCTTCAGTTTGTTACCAGCTCTGCTTAAATTACAGGAGCCTGGCTGCTAACAAGCCAGGCATTGTTTCACTACTCCTCTGTACATCTTTTAAAAGATGGGAGCCATCCCAGGGCCTTAGTACACAAAAGGCCAAGTTCAGGATTAATTATTTACTCACGGCTGGCCCAATAATCTTCTCGGGGATGTGTTTTCAAAATTGGAACAGTGCATGTGTAAGGACTTCAGCTCCTTTGAATTTCTGAATTTAAGAACTGGATTTTAGTTCAATGCAACTAAATCAGAATAGAACTGGAAGGGACCTTGGAGGTCATCTAGTCCAAGCCCCTGCTCAAGCCGAGGTGGCGCAGCAGTTAGAGTGCAGTACTGCAGGCCACTTTAGCTGACTGTGTTCAGCAGGTCAGCGGTTCAAATCTCACCAGCTCAAGGTTGACTCAGCCTTCCATCCATCCGGACCCAGATTGTTGGGGGCAATGTAAATATATATATATATACATTGCTTACTGGTGTACACCGCTTAGAGAGTGCTTACACTTAAAGCGGTGTATAAGTCTCATAAACAAATAAATAAAATAAAATAAAGAGACCCCATACCATTTCAGACAAGTGGCCGTCCAGTCTCTTCTTAAAAACCTCTAGTGATGGGACACCTACAACAACTGAAGGCAAGCTGTTCCACTGGTAGATTGTTCTCACTGTTAGGAAATTTCTCCTTAATTCCAGGTTGCTTCTCTCCTTGGTTAGTTTCCGTCCCTTGTTTCTTGTCTTGCCTTCTGATGCTTTGGAAAATAGGTTTGTGCCCCCCCCCCTTCTTTGTGGCAGTCCTGCAAATATTGGAAGATTGCTATCAGGTCACCCCTGGTCCTTCTTTTCATTAAAGTAGACATACTCAGTTCCTGCAACTTTTCTTTGTGTGTTTTAGTCGCCCGGTCTTTAATCATCTTAGTTTCTCTTCTCTGAACTTTTTCCAAAGTCTCAACATCTTTTTTGTAATGTGGTGCCCAGAACTGGATGCAATATTCCAGATGTGGTCTTTCTAAGGATTTAATAAAGCGGTACTAATACTTCACGCAATTTTGATTCTATGCCTCTGTTCATACAACTTAATGATAATAATAGTAAAGTTGGAAGGGACCTTGGAGGTCATCTAGTCCAACCCCCTGCTCAGGCAGGAAACCCTATACCATTTCGGACAAATGGCTGTCCAGTCTCTTCTTAAAAACCTTCAGTGTTGGAGCATTCACCACTTCTGGAAGCAGGTTGTTCCACCGGTTAATTGTTCTAACTGTCAGGAAATTTCTCCTTAGTTCTAGGTTGCTTCTCTCCTTGCTTAGTTTCCCCCCATTGCTTCTTGTCCTGCCTTCAGGCGCCTTGGAAAATAGCTTGACTCCCTCTTCTTTGGGACAGCCCCTGAGATATCAGAACATTGCTATCATGTCCCCCCTCGTCCTTCTCTTCATTAAATTAGACATACCCAATTCTAGCAACCGTTCCTTATATGCTTTAGCCTCCAGTCCCCTAATCATCTTTGTTGCTCTTCTCTGAACTCTTTCTAGAGTCTCAACATCTCTTTTACATCGCAGTGACGAAAACTGGATGCAGTATTCCAAGCGTGGCCTTACCAAGGCCTTGTAAAGTGGTATTAACACTTCACGTGATCTTGAATCTATCCCTCCGTTAATGCAGCCTAGCACTGTATTGGCCTTTTTGGCAGCTGCAGCACACAGCTGGCTCATATTTAGGTGATTGTCCACTAGGATTCCGAGGTCCCTCTCACAGTTACTACTATTGAGCATGGTACCCCTATATTATATCTGTGCATTTGGTTTTTCTTGCCTAAATGTAGAACTTTGCTTTTTTCACCATTGAATTTCACTATACTTGAAAGAGTTTTGTTATACTTGTTAACACAAATGATGATAGTGTAGAACAGTGATTCTCAACCTTTTTAATGCCGCGACCCCCCCAACCGGTCGTAAGTTGAGGACTACTCAACCCGTTGTAAGTCGAGGACTACTCAACTGGTGCAGCACCGTTTGCAGACTGGGCTTTTGGCGGGCTCAGAAGGGCAGAGACAGCCTGGACAATTCCTATTGGCTTTTGAAAGCCAATAGAATGAGACTCTATTCAAGAGAGTCTATTCTATTGGCTTTCAAAAGCCAATAGAATAAAAGGGAGTAGCACAGCTAAGGAAAAGGGGAAAAAAATGGCGGACTGCGTTGTTTGGTGACCCCCGTGAAATGGTTGTTCGACCCCAAATGGGGTCCCGACCCACCGGTTGAGAACCACTGGTGTAGAAAAATGAACAAGTGGAAATATATACTATCCCCCACAATGGAAAAAATGGGTTTGGTTGAGATGGCAATGTAAACTGTTTTAAACTGAGAGATTGTATTGGGTTCTCTTTCTATTCTCCAGCTTGGCACTCTAGTAAATGATTCATTTTTCATAGAAGAAGTGGTTGGCACCTCTGTATTGTTTTCATAATACACCAGCCTGGTCTTCAGCCCTTTGCTTCTGAACCTGCCCAAGCTAGCTCTGTGCCAACATAATTTGGAATGTGATCAAATCAGACATAAAGCCAATTGTTTTATATTGAATGAAAGAGCACATGGCAAACAAATTTATGAAGCTATTGTTTCACAAGAGTGACAAAATGTTTGAGAGTGTTAGGAAAGATATAAATTATTTTTAAGGTATAAAGTAGATGTAAATTTATAGAAATCATACATCAACCATCGTTTCTGGGGCTGCAAACAAATGATTTAGACCAAGAGTGAGTCAAGAATGGGAGAGCTAGAGTTAAATTAAACCATATAAATTTACCAGACGATAAACAGGTGAGTAAATAGATAGGAGAGAGAGAGAGAAAGAGATATGGAGGAGGAGAGGGAGGGAGGGAGGAAGCAAGGAAAGGAGAGAAGAGAGAGAGAGAGAGAGAGAGAGAGAAAGATAGATAGATAGATAGATAGATAGATAGATAGATAGATAGATAGATAGATAGATAGATAGATAGATAGATAGATAGATAGGCAGGCAGGCAGGCAGGCAGGCAGGCAGACAGACAGACAGACAGACAGACAGATAGATAGATATACTTATTCACAATTAGAGTTTATTTCAGTTGGATCTTTAAATTAGAAGTTTAAGTCAAGCACAAAGGGGTGGATCTTTGATCATTTAGTTACAACCATCCTTTTGACTTTTTGAACACAACTCTGCCCCCACCACACGAAGGACTGCAATACCTTAGAACTGGGTGAGAAGCTTACCGCCATATTCTTTTCCCTCTTTCACAAATATCTCAGTGAATTCCTGAAGGATACCAGGATGGATTCAAGGTTGTTGAGCTTGTTAATGTCCATTTGAGGCAGTTTCACAAAGAGCCCTGCTAGTTTAACTTGTGGCTTTGCTGTGTGATTTCAGGAACTTACTGGAAAATTGCCGAGGGAATACCCCCTCAACCCAGGGGAGGAGCCCCCAATTGTGAGAAGAAGAATTGGGACTTCTTTTAAACTGGATGAACAGAAAATGCTACCCAAGGGAGAGGTAACGATCCAGTTTGTGTTACACTGTCCAAATATTTGGTTACTACCAGAGTCTGGAAAATCCAGTCATCGTCTCAACTGTCTTTTTCTGTCCTTCTTTCATCTCCCTGTTTATTACCATACTAAGAGTTCATATTGGCTGGTGAGGGAGACCAAGCTGACATGAAACCCAAACCAAAAAGAGATCCTGTTGATCCACCGTCAACAATTCTTGGAGGTCAAGCTCACCTCCTATTGCTGTTGGTGGCTGAAGGACCAGCCTAACCATCTACCATCCAGTTTTGTAGATGGCAGTTAGGAGAAGATCCTTGAGGCAGGTCGATTTAGCAAACCTTCTCCCTACGTTGGTCAAATCTTGACTTTCCAAAAGGCAACTGGACTTTCCTGGGCAATTTTTTTCCTTGAAGATATTTCACTTCTCATCCAAGAAGTTTCTTCAGTTCTCCAGAAGCCTTTTCAAGAAAAAAAAAAATCCATTTACCTTTTGGAAAAGCATCTTTGGGATAATCATGACCTGAATGATTGAGACTCTCCATAGACATTTAACCTTGCTTTTAATTTGACTCTTTCGGTGCACTCTGCTTGGGTTATTCTTAATCAGCCTAATCCTGAAAAATGCAGCAGATGAGCTAACCAACATAGAATAGATGGATCATGGTGTGCTTGTATTTTTTTAAAAAAAACTTCCCTTTTTACGACCCTATAAATCACTTAATTCAGGGTAGAGGCAGGGTGACTAAATGGAGCTGAGCGTTTACTGGCCGGATGTCCTTCCTGGTGCCTATGCAGAGTTCGCAGCAAATAATATTATTTTTTTGCGCCTTGGAGGCATGTTTGTATTAAAAAGAATTGCATATAAAAGAGCTGAGTCTCTGACAATCACATCTGCTGTTGTAAATGTGTTCTGGATTTTCAGCCTGCTGGAGAATTCCCTTTGAAGGTGTCCCCAATACCTGCATTAAGGACTTTAAAGCTCCTTCTCCTGGACTGGGATGCACATCAATTAAAAAGATTTGGAAGAAGTTTAGGCTTATATTGTAGATCCCTTTTAAGACTTCAGATATCCAGTTCTCTTTCTCTTTCTCTCTCTCTCTCTCTTTAACCAATAATTTTTTATTTTTCCAAACTCTCCCCCATACATATACCGTGATATTTATCAGATGTTAACATACATTCTTTTTACATTCATATATAAGATACTTGTAATAAAATGAAATAAATACATACACATGACTTTTGGTGTTGCTCGCCCATTTCCCCTTTCACTGTATCCACACTCCTTCTTCTCTACCTTCTTTCTCCCTTTCTTCTCTTCCCTACTTCCCTCTTCTTCCTCTCCTCTTCTCTTTCCTTCACCACTTCTCCCCACTTCTCTTCTCCTCCAACCTTCCTACTTCCTTCTCCCCTCCTTTACTCTTTTCTCTCTCCTCTCCTTTCTTCCCTCTCATCCCTCTTCAGATACAATTCAGGGGTAATGTCCGTCTCTCTCTCCCCGTCTCTCTCTCCCTCTTTCTCTCTCCCCCCTCTTTCTCTTCCTTTCCCCTCTCCCCCTCTCCCCCCTCTCTCTCTCCCCCTCTCTCTATCTCCTCCTACCTCTTTATCTCTCTATCACAGAAGGCTGTTTGTTGTTACCTTTTCTTTGCTTGGAACTATGCAATAGGTTGTACAGCTTTTTAAAGCTCTTTTAGAAGTCTCAGGCTCTTAGAACAGGGGTGTGAACTCCATCTACAGTCCAAAGATCAAATGCACTTTTTTCAAAAAAAACAAAGCTTGAGTGGTGCTTTTAATCCTTCGGCTTTCAGTGGATGTAGGAGACTCTTTGGAGGAGGGAGGAGAGCAGAAGTGTAGGAGTGGGTGGGAAAGAGAAAAGCAGATCCAGCTCTCACGTTTATGCATTGTGTGAAATGCATATTTAATCAGCTCGCTGTTGACGGAGATTATAAAATCTTCAAAGCGAAACTTTTAAGCACACACAAATAACAGCCTTTGGGCCAATCGCAACAAGAGAAGAGCTATAGTTAACAGACTTAAAATGGTGCTGAGTCATCCTGAAAACATCAAAAGAGCTTTTTGAGATGAGCCAAGGACAGCCATATTACCTTGATGAAGGATGAAGTCAAACCAGCTCCTTCAGTTCACGCGCACGTGGAGAAATTGAAATAGGAAATATCTCTTTGATGTGCAAACATTAGCTTCTAGGCTTCCAAAACCCACAGTGTGATTAGGAACGAGTGGTCATTCCTAATCAAGGAGAGAAGCCACCTAGAACTAAGGAGAAATGTCCTAATAGTGAAAACAATCAACCAGTGGAACAGCTTGCCTCCAGAAGTTGTGGGTGCTCCAACACTGGAGAGTTTTAAGAAGAGATTGGTCAGCTATATGCTTGAGCAGGGGATGGATAGAAGCTGACTTGGTTTTTAATAAGATCAGTTTCTTGGTGGTTTCACACATTTTTGTTGTTCCAGTCTAATTTCAAGATGGCGTTGGAGGAAAACTAAAGTAACATCTGGAAATACTGTTGTAAGGGTGGTCAACCCCTAACAGGTGGTCCTCTTTGACCAGGATTTTACCAAACACAGTATAAGATGCTTATCACATAAGTAGCATCCCTACTACTCAGTCAGATTGGGGATGTAGATACGACCTCCTTCCACAAATCGGCCAAATTATCAAGACATAAAGGGTCCCTGGTGCTCTCTGAGCTTGCTTGTTTTCTTGCAGACGTTTCATTATCCAAACTAGGTAACATCATCAGTGCTCAAAACATAAAAGGTAATTCAGTACAACTTTGATCTTATGTTAGTGGAATATCTAATGAAGAAAGTGGGGAAAAGCCACTCCAAGTATTTCTCCTCTTCTTCATTGTTTTTGCTAAGCTCTGAAAACATGATATTTCAGTATAGCCTGACCTTCTGACTTGTTTCTGTAACATGTCTTCAGATATGTATTGTTTAGTTAGTGCTCCAAAAATGTTGACAATTGGAAGCGTATCATAGAAGGAAAAAAATCTAGGAATATCAAGGCCATAAAGCCCAGGACACGCACCCACATACTATCCCAGAAATACATAGGAAGAACCTATGGCTGGTGAATGAAGTTATTTTTCCATGCTAGCACTCTTCTTCCCTTAGATAATAGAGATCCTAGCAAATTTAGTAGTCACAATTTAGCCACTTCTGGAGCAGCCTCAGACCTGGGCCTAAAAACACAGTTCCTAAATAACTTACTGCAAACCTGAGTCGCACATCTCACTAGGTTGAGCCTGGATAAAAAGATTTGGCATTGTGATTACTGTCAACCCTGACATCCAAGGTCTTTAGATACAGGAGATGAAGTGACTTGAGCTGTAGGATGTGAAAAGTTCAACTTCGCTGGTGGGCGGCAATCATATTTTTCTGTTGATCCATATTTTTCTGTTGATCCAGTGTTGATTCACTGGACTGGATGCCAGTCCAGTGAAACTAGCTCAATGGCAGACCTTGAGACACATTGACCATTGACACTTCTTTCCTGTCGGACAGGAAGCTGAGCTGGAACGGTTGGAAAGAGAATTTGCCATCCAGTCCCAGATCACTGAAGCTGCTCGCCGCCTGGCCAGTGAGCCCAACGTCAGCAAGAAGCTGAAAAAGCAGAGGAAGACGTCTTATCTGAATGCGCTGAAGAAGCTTCAGGAGATTGAAAATTCCATCAATGAGTACCGTATCAGATCCGGGAAAAAGCCCACCCAAAGAGCTTCGCTGATCATAGATGGTAAAGACAATTGACCTGTGATATTCTGAGATTTGCCTTAGATGGGATGGGGTTTAGAGGTTGGTTGATTTTCATGGGTCTTACAGGCTGCTTGAAGAAATAATGGAGAAACCCTATTTGGAGTTATGGAAGCCCACCAGGTGACCATCTCATATTCCTGGCCCAGTACCTCATCAACTCCTCTGCAATTAGCCACTTGGGTATTAAATTCAGGAAAGTGGTAAAGGAAACAGGGTTCAAGTGCAATCACTGATTGCAAGTCTGCATTTTTTGTGCTAAACAGATTTGCAATCTCACACCAGCAGCCCCAAAGAAAAATGGGAACGGGAGAAACAAAGAATGAGATTTTACTGAGCTAAACATCCCTCAGAACTGAAAGATTCCTGTGGAAAAACATTTTTTGACCTGCAGGTTTGCACTAAGAGTTGTTGTAATTACAACATGGGCTAAGAGGAGTTTACAACACACACAAAAATGCCGATGATAAATAGATTCTTAATTTTGGACTCTGCCAAATTTTGTTTTAAGATCCCCAGTTAAAAGGACCACTGATTTACAAAGCTGTTAAGGATACAGGGAGTCCTTGACTTACAACCACAATTGGAACTTCCATTGCTAAGAGACGTGGCCATTAAGCGACCACTCCTTATTTTAAGACCTTTTTTGGCCATGGTTTTGTAAGTGTATCACCACGGTCTTTTAAGTGAACCACATGGACATTAAACAAATCCGGATTCCCCCACAGGACTTCGCTTGTCAGAAACCTCCTGGAAAGGTCATAAATGGTGACCTGGGATGCTGTAACCATCATAAATACAAAAATACAGCACAGATTTTGATTATCTGACTGCAGCATCCCCACAATAATCATAAGAGCGAAATCTGGTCGTAAATTACTTTCTCCAATGCCTGATAAGTTTGAACAGTTGTTATCTATGATCAAATTAATGATAAATCAGTGGCTATTTATCACCAACAAACTTCATTGTTTAGGGACAATAGTCAAACTATTGTCTGCCTGTCCTGCCTATGCATTTCCTGGAAACATTTGTAGATGAGAAATAGCATGCTGGAGAAACCATGGAGAATAGGTGGTCTTCCAGCCTTGCTGTCCCACGTCTGCTAGAATCCCTGGCTGGGTAATTGGGAGTTGTAGTACTGCAACATCCAGAGAATGCCCATCTTTCTGCTCATGGGATGGGTCTGAAGAAAGATAGTACTGCTTTCATGATCTGACTTCTGGGATACCGATGCTGATCCACTTCCTTGTTGACGGGATCTTTTCTATGTCTCTTGACTTCCTAGATGGAAACATTGCCAGTGAAGATAGCTCCCTCTCAGACGCTCTTGTCCTGGAGGATGGTACGTAAAGAGCTTCCGAGTCTTTATCATTTTCTGCGTTTGATAAGCACACAGTTATTTCAAATTTTTGCAAAAGGCAGTGGCACATCAAAAGAATAAAGAGAGGATCTTTTATTTCCAAGCACTACTTACTAGTGCTGGTCGAAATGATTTTGATCTGGTGATCCTAATGGATCAGCTCTCTCGCCCGTTTTGGTGTGAACTGTATCTTGAGTTTGGTTGTAGGAAGTAGAGCAGGAGCTTTTTTGCAAATCACCTATCCAGGGGACGCTTTGTCCCTGGGGGGTTTAGTAGGGGGTTAGTATCTGTCTTCCTTAATTTTAGGTATATCATGAAAATATAGGAAGGAGGCTACTTGGAGCCGAGTTCATTTTAAAAATACTCCAGTATTTCAAGTTTTTTTCCTGTCTACTTTTATTGGCTGATCGTCTTGCTTGTCATGTCATTTTTCAAAAAGATTTTAGCTTTTAATTGGGGTGAGAGTCTCTTTTTTGATCCCAAATGATGACTCCCTTATTTTAGTTCATCCAGAAGGTGGTATGTCCATATTTTATTTATTCAGAGTGTGCCTCTTTCCACAAGCATCAAGACTCCCCTAACGGGACCTAACGCCATTAAACGTATCTTTTTCTCCCACACTTTGCCCATTTGTGGGATTTATAGCTTTCGGCTCCTTGCAACTTGATGCTGACATTTGACAAAAAGAGGTGCCTTGATGGCTGTCAAGTAGTTAAACCAAAGAGTTGAGATGAACTTCAAATGGGCTTAAAATGTTCTCTTCTTGAAGGAGAAGAGATGGCAGGACCAGGGGGGCAGAATCAAGAGAGCCATTAGCCTAGAATCCTTATATAACCACAAACAAACTAAACCCAATTCCGCTTGAGTGCTGTTGGCCCTTATCTAACTCTTAACTAGGTGCTAACTGTTAGTTGAGAAGATTTCTGTGTGTAGACTTTTAGGGGCAAATCAGTCTGATCGATCCTTCATGTGTGGACCTGTCCTTCATGCCTGACCCTTCTTCTCCTTCCATTCCAGAAGACTGCCCTGTTACCAGCACAATATCCCCTTTACAGTCACCTCACAAAGGGCTCCCTCCTCGCCCCCCCTTGCACAACAGGCCTCCCCCTCCACAGTCTCTGGAGGGTCTCCGGCAAATGCACTATCATAGGAATGACTATGACAAGTCCCCCATTAAGCCCAAGATGTGGAGCGAGTCTTCCTTGGATGAACCTTACGAGAAGGTGAAGAAGCGTTCTTCTCACAGCCACTCCAGGTGAGTCCAGAGCAGGAGATGGCGGACCTTCCATCCATCATCAGAGGACTTTATAGTACTCTTGTAGAAATAAAGCAAAGGTTTGCCAGCACATTCCAGGGGCGTGTATAAAATTATGCATTAATGTGCCAATGGACATTCTATAAAGCTTCTGCATAAATTTCTCAGAATAACAGAGTTGGAAGGGACCTTGGAGGTCTTCTAGTCCAACCCCCTGCTCAAGCAAGAACTCTGTATCATTTCAGATAAATGGTTGTCCAATCTCTTTTTTAAAAACCCCAGTGTTGAAGGACCCACAACTCCTGGAGACAGCCTGCTCCACTGGTTAATTGTTCTTACTGCCAGGAAATTTCTCCTTAGTTCAAGGTTGGTTCTCCCCTTGATTCATTTCCATCCATTGCTTCTTGTCCTGCCTTTAGGTGCTTTGGAGAATAGCTTGACTCCCTCTTCTTTATGGCAGCCCCTGAGATATTGGAAGATTGCTATCATCTCACCCCTAGTGCTTCTTAAACTAGACATCCCCGATTCCTGCAACTTGAGGCCTTAGCTGGAAGAAACAATGATGATATTCACTTTCTGCAGATCTTGAGTTAATCTGGCCAATTTTATATATAAATATGGTTGCCCCTTACCCAGAATAGAACAAAAATATTATTCACCAAGGACATGCAGCATTCAGCAGCTAATATAGCCAGAAGTGTGCATGTGTATATATGCCTGCAAATTTGCATATATGTGTGGGTTTGTGTATGCATCCATGGTTGTGCATGTATGACAATCGGTTGGGAGAAGAAACTAGATGTGTACATGGATATATTTTTTCACTGCCCGTTTTTAAATGCCATGGTTGTGCATGTATGACAATTGGTTGGGAGAAGAAAATAGATATGTACATAGACAATTTTTTTTCACTGCCCGTTTTTAAATGCCCGAATCCATACCTTCCCTATCTAAGTACTAGAAAGAGTGCAGAGAAGAGCAACAAAGATAATAACAGGACTGGAGGCTAAACCATATGGTGAACAGTTGCAGGAACAGGGTATGTAACAAAGAGAAGGACTAGGGATGACATGATAGCAGTCTTCCAGTACTCAAGGAACTATCACAGAGAAGAGAGGATGACTTATCCTCCAAAGCACCAGATGGCAGGACAAGAAGCAACGGATAAAACAGGGGTGTCACACTCAATTTCATTGAGGGCCGCATCAGCATTGCGGTTGCCCTTGCGGGGGGTGGCCAGGGTGGGTGTGGCCTACTGGGTGGGTGTGGATGGAGTGGGTGTGGCCTATTGGGTGCGCATGGCCAGGTCTACATTGTTCGATTCAAGAGTGCCTGTGGAGGCCTGGGCAGGAATGGGACAGATCTGAGGGTCTCTGGTAGAAGGGGGTGGGACTGGGGCAAGTGCCAAGGCATGGTCCACTGGAGGAGCCTCACTGCCTATTGAAACCCTCCACTGGAGCCCATCAAGCCAGATATGTGAAGTAGACGAGGGCCATTTGCTGGCCACTTCCAGGCGATGGTGCATTTCTTCATTCCTCACAAAGGGTGACACCTCCCCAGCATGCACCCAGGGGGTGGGGCCGACATGGCAGGGGCTGGTTCCTCGCTGTTTCCAGACGGCCTTGTGGAGCTAAGACTGAATGCGTTTCAGCATAGATGGCCACCACAAAATTGTACATTGGCTCCCGGCCGGCCAGGGCCAAGGCAGTGGGGGCCGTTCCCTCACTGTTTCCAGGATGGCTTCACGGGCCGCATCCGGTCCCCGGGCCTTGTGTTTGACATGTCTGGGATAGAAGATCATTAAACACAGATCCAACCTAGAAATAAGGAGAAATTTCCTGACATTGAGAACAGTTAATCAGTGGAACAGCTTGCCTCCAGATGTTGTGGGTGCTCCATAACTGGAGGTTTTCAAGAAGAGACCGGACAGCCATTTGTCCAGAATGGATTAGGGCTTCCTTGCTTGAGCAGAGGGTTGGACTAGAAGACCTCCAAAGCCCCTTTCAACCCTGTTTTCTATGTTATTCTAAGGCATGAATGCACCAGTCTACCCTAGCTGGTGATGTTCTCTGTCTCCATCCGACTACTTGGCCGGCCACATTCCTTTCATTTGACTGTCCCAGTCTGGTAACCCTTGAATGATTGGGAACTTGTCATCCCAAGACACTTGAAGAGAGTTACATGGGAGAAAACCCTTGTAACAGCTGTTGGGATGATACCTGAAAAATCTAAAATTTGCTACTGTCTACCTGAAGGTTGAAAGGCTGAGCGCCAAAGAATTGAGGCCTTTGAACTATGGTGCTGGAGAAGACTCCTGCGAGTCCCCTGGACTGCAAGGCGTTCAAACCGGTCAGTCCTAGAGGAGATCAACCCCGACTGCTCTTTAGAAGGCCAGATCCTGAAGTTGAAACTCAAGTACTTTGGCCACCTAATGAGAAGGAAGGACTCACTGGAGAAGGGCCTAATGCTGGGAAAGATTGAGGGCAATAGAAGAAGGGGACGACAGAGAATGAGATGGCTGGATGGAGTCACTGAAGCAGTAGGTGTGAACTTAAATGGACTCCAGAAGATGGTAGAGGACAGGAAGACCTGGAGGAACGTTGTCCATGGGGTCGCGATGGGTCGGACACGACTTCGCAATTAACAACAACAACCTGAAGGTTCCATGTCCATAGGTAGAGATGGTGCCCATTTAGCAGCATGTGTAAAATAAAGATTGTGTTTTGAATTCTTTGTTGTCTTCTGTTTGCATTAGTCACAAGCGGTTTCCCAGTACTGGAAGTTGTGTGGAAGGTGGAGGAAGCAACTCTCTTCAGAACAGCCCAGTGAGGAATCTTCCCCATTGGAACACTCAATCCAGCATGCCATCGACACCAGATCTACGGGTACGCAGTCCACATTATGTCCATTCCACCAGGTGAGTCCTTTCGTCCCACGGTTTCCTCTCTTTCTATTCCTCTGTTGGACTCCTGGCCATAAACTCTTTTAATCAAGGTTAATAGAAACATGGAAGAGAAATTGTACTTGAAATGTTTCTGAGATCAACACGGGCCGTTTCCACCTCACCAAAAGTTTTCTGAACCTGGAACGCTTCCAGCCAGGCGAGATCAACCTCAAAATACTTTGGGCAAAATTGAAAGAAGGTGTTTTCACCTTCACTAATGATGTCCTCGGTGTTGATGAGCCTCTGTTTCAAGGTGGACACCCTTCACACTTGAACAGGGATCATCAAATCTGGAAAGACGGCAGCATTAAAAATAGGTTCAAAATATTTTGTCCTTTCTGAGCGTATCTCCCAATCATGGACGTGGTTAGGTTTGTTGGAGTGATGAAGAGCTGATTCACACAGAATTGTGTTTGAAGTTCTGAAGTAAAGATTTAGCTAGGGAAGGAGAAAGGCATGTTGGTCGTCGTATCAAGCTGCTGCAGCATTCTTCAACCTGGGTCATTTTAAGACTTGTGAATGCTAGCTGGGCAGTTCTGGGAATTGAAGTCCACAAGTGTTAAAGTGACCAAAGTTGGACATGCCTGGACTAAAGCAGCTTTTCTGAAAAAAGCTTTTCACATATCTGACTTGTGTGCTATACTTGTATTGGATGCCAGTCGGAGCTGAAGCATTTAAGGCCGAGGTCCCCAACCTTTTGTGCACCAGGGACCGGTTACGTGGAGAGAGATTTTTCCGCAGACCGGAGGGGGCGTGGTTTTGTGTGCTGCCTGCATCCCGCGGATGGGACTTTGCTTGTTTGTGCAGCCCAGTTGCTGGCATGCCACGGCCCGGTACCAGTCCACGGACCGGGATTGGGGAACCCCTAATTTAAGGCACGCTGGAAATATCCCGGGAGCAGGTTTCCATCAAACGATTGCCCTCTGTAGTGATGTTTAGAGTCTTAATTCTGTTTTGTTTTTTTCCCCTTTCTGTTTCTCTGGGCTTACAGATCGGTGGACATCAGCCCTACCAGACTGCATAGTTTAGCTCAGCACTTTAGACACCGAAGTTCCAGTTTAGAATCGCAAGGGAAGCTTCTTGGCTCGGAAAACGAAACGGGGAGCCCTGACTTCTACACCCCAAGGACTCGTAGCAGTAATGGGTCAGACCCCATGGATGACTGCTCCTCCTGTACGAGCCACTCCAGCTCCGAGCATTATTACCCGGCCCAGATGAATGCCAATTACTCCACCCTGGCGGAGGACTCGCCCTCCAAAGCTCGCGAGCGCCAGAGACAGCGACACAAGTCAGCTGGAAACCTCGTCTGCTCCAATTCGGGAAGCATGCCCAACCTGGCTGCCGGCAATGGGACCGCCCATCACGGCGTCTACCTGCACAGCCAAAGCCAGCCTTCCTCCCAGTACAGGATCAAAGAGTACCCGCTCTACATCGAAGGGAGCTCGACGCCGGTGGTAGTGCGCAGCCTCGAAAACGACCAGGAGGGACACTACAGCGTGAAAGCACAGTTTAAAACATCCAATTCGTACACAGCGGGCGGCATGTTTAAGGAGAACTGGCACGGGGATGAAGTGGACTCCCTCCGGTTGACTCCCTCCCGGTCTCAGATCATAAGGACTCCTTCGTTGGGGAGAGATGGCCACGAAAAGGGATCGGGGAGGACTGTGGTCTCGGATGAGCTCAGACTATGGTACCAGCGGTCCACGGCCCCCCACAAAGACCACAGCCGGTTGTCGCACACAAGCTCCACTTCGTCGGATAGCGGCTCCCAGTACAGTAACTCCTCTCAAAGCACCTTCGTGGCGCACAGTAAGGTAACCAGGATGCCTCCCATGTGCAAAGCAACGTCAGGTAAGCGGGAGAAATTCTGGGCCCAGGTGGCATTTAAAGGAATAAATCTCAGGTCTCTCTGACGGGGCCGAGAGACGCGATATCAGGGAATTGCACAGACAAGGTCCAAATGGAGTCAGAGACGCCGACACAAACTTGTAGTTTTGTATAAATAAATATATTTAACATATATATTTATAGGAGACAAGACAGTCGGGCCCATCACTATATCATGAGGTAAATCGTCAAGTAAATTACAGAACAGCATAAGGAGCACCCAGAAGAAAAAAGGCGGGAAAAAAGGGAAACTCCCCCTTCACACCCACCAACCAATCCTAGCGTAGCTTGCCTCATGCAGGAGCCCGCACTGTCCAATTAGTCGGCTACAACTGTGTGTTCTGGCCCATCGAACACTTTACTCTTCCAACTATTAAATTAAATGCCTTAACTCATAAAGAGTATCTGATGCTAATAGGAAGATAGTGATGGTGATAATGATAACGATGATTTTTTAAAAAACTAGTTCACCACCCAACTCTCAATGACTCAGTTTCAATAAAATCAATATGTCAGGCACAACTCAGTGAATAGGCCAAAGTCATTTCTTTATTGTTGATCACTTCTTTGACAATAATCTCACCAGACTGGCCGCATTCTCTTGGGAATAGGTAGATAAGGGCTTCCCTAGTCTGGCTTGTGTCGTTCCTCCCACAGAGCGACTCCATACTGGTATGCCTCTTTAGTCCTTTCTCTCCTTCCACCACACAATATTAACCTAAAAAGTGAAGCCTATGGAGATTCCCAATCATCCAGGTCATAGTTGTCCCAAAGGTGCTTTTCCAAAAGGAAACTGGACTTCCTTTTTTTTTTTCTTTAAAAACATTTCGTTTCTCATCTGAGAAGCTTCTTCAGAACTGAAGAAGCTTCTTGGGCGAGGAGCAAAATGTTTTCAGACAAAACAATAGCCAAGGAAGTCCAAAAGCACCCTTGGGACATAAAATGTAAAGGTAAAAGAGCAAAGCATGATGAAGTCCAGGGTCTTGCTGTCCCTCGCCAGAGGCCCAGATGAAGAACCTGTTCTTCATGGTTATTCTGAACAATAACAGACTGAGGGGCTATTTGCATCTTGGAGAGAACCTCAGACGTGCTACAGAGAAGGAGCACTTTGGCAGTCCTGAAAGATTAGAATCAGAATAGAGCTGGAAGGGACTTTGGAGATCTTCTAGTCCAGCCTCCTGATCAAGCAGAGCAACCTATAACAATGGTGGCGAACCTATGGCACGCGTGCCAGGGGCGGCACTCAGAGCCCTCTCTGTGGGCACGCACGCCATGCCCCGGAGATGGTAACCGTCTCTCTTCAACCAGCTGCCCGCTAACTCGCCGAGGTCCATGTGACTGGATGCATCCCAGTACCCATGCGCTCGCTGGCCTCTGTGTGCAGGGGCTGATGGTGTCAGGCAGCAGCCGCCCCGGCCCCTGCCTCACCTTACCCTGCGACAATGGCTCCCCTGCCCTGCCCTGCCTCGCCTTGCCTCGCCTCAGCCTGCAGGACGAGCCTCTTGCCCACTGTCCCACCTGCCAGAGACCCCCTAGATTTCCGCCAACTCTGCCCGGCCCCCATAGGTGTCCCTCCCCACAACAACATCGAGGTGATCACGCCCACCTTGGCCACACCTACCCAGTCTGCCATGAGCACCACAGCCACACCCACCCAGTGGTCCACGCCCACCTGGCACCCGGCGGTAAATAAGTGGGTTTTGGGTTGCAGTTTGGGCACTCGGTCTCTAAAAGGTTCGCCATCACTGGCCTATAACATTTCAGACAAGCGGCTGTCCAGTCTCTTCTTAAAATCCTCCAGTGTTGAAGCACCCACAACTTCTGGAGGCAGACTGTTCCATTGGTTAATTGTTCTCACTATTTGGAATTGTTCTTAATTCCAGGTTGCTTCTCTCCTTGATTAGTTTTCAGCCATTGTTTCTTGTCCTGCCTTCTGGTGCTTTGGAGAATAAGTTGACCCCCTCTTCTTTGTGTTAGCCAGGGCATTGTTTAATCAAAGGAACTTGTAGCACTAACTCTGCAGGCAAATTGGAAGATATGAGAAATGTCCATCACTGCTTGTGCCTCCATATGCTGAACCAGTTGAGGCTTCTGGGTGATCTTCAAGGACCACCCCTGGATAATGATGAGCTACCTTTCTGCCTTTGGTGTAAAGCAGAATGAGTCGGCGTGAAGCAAGAAGTGAGTACCTACAAAGAGGTTACTCCTTGGATCAAATGTCAGGGCGTTGCAGAGGTCATGTGACTTCGAATTCTGATTTTAATCCTGATCTCAAATAAATTATTCTGTCTCAGCCTCAGCTTCTACACAAAACATTGTATATCACATAGATAAAAACCCACTCAGAAGGTTCTTTAAATAAGAAACTAAATGCTCAAAGCAGTGATTTAAAGCTGGAAGTAGATTAATATCGGTGCCACTGCTGTAATTAAGACTTTCTCAAATGTGTAAGAACTTGACACTGTTCAAAAATCACCCACAAAGAGCAATCTCCAAATATAAGCAGCATCTTAGCTAATAATTACGTTCGGCTAATACTTATATATCCAGTCTTTTATTTACCCAGCCAAGCTGAGTTCTCCAGCTGGGAAGGGAGGAGTGAGAAGGAATGTAAAAGTCTAAAATGCTCACATTAAATGTGGGAATTAGTCCACAAGTATGTAGCACAGCGGTTCTCAACGTTTGTGTGACGGCGACCCCCGTCACACAAAACGTTATGCGCATGCGCGGCGCGGCGCCACCCCCGGAGGTGCGGCGCCGCCCCCATGCGCGGCACGCATGCGCTGCAGCGCCCCCCGGAGGCGCGGCGCCGCCCCCACGCACGGTGCGTGTGCGCGGCACCGCCCCCCGGAGGCGCAGCGCGCCCCCGGAGGGGACAAAATGGCGGATCGCCACGTTTGGCGACCCCGCAAAAGAGGTCGATCGACCCCAAATGGGGTCGCGACCCATAGGTTGAGAACCGCTGATGTAGCATGTCCGCAGTCCCAGGCTGCATTAACAGAGGGATAGAATCAAGATCACGTGAAGTGTTAGTACCGCTTAACAAAGCCTTAGTAAGACCACACTTGGAATACAAGGAGTCCTCAAGTTATGACCACAACTGAGCCAAAACTTTCTGTTGCTAAATGAGACAGTTGTTAAGTGAATTTTACCTCACATCATGACCTTTCTGTTAAGTGAATCACTACAGTTGTTAAGTTAGTAACACGGTTTTTAAGCAAATCTGCCTTTCCCGTTGACTTGGCTTGTCAGAAGGTCGCAAAAGGGGATCACCTGACCCCGGGACATAAATCCGAGCCAATTGCTGAGGATCTGAATTCTGATCACATGAGCCACGGGATGCTGCAACGGTGAAAACTGGGAAACGATCATAAGTCAACTTTTTTAGCGCCGTTGTAACTTTGAACGGTCACTAAATGAACCGTAAGTTGAGGACTGTTTGTATTGCATCCAGTTTTGGTTGCCACGATATCAAAAAAGATGTTGAGACTCTGGAAAGAGTACAGGGAAGAGCAACAGAGATGATTAGGGGGCTGGAGGCTAAAACATATAAAGCATCCAGTTTTGGTTGCCACGATATCAAAAAAGATGTTGTAGACTCTGGAAAGAGTACAGGGAAGAGCAACAGAGATGATTAGGGGGCTGGAGGCTAAAACATATAAAGAACCGTTGCAGGAATTGGGTATGTCTAGTCCAGGGGTAGGCAACCTTGGCTCTTTTATGACTCGTGGACTTCAACTCCCAGAATTCCTGAGCCAGCCATGCTGAGGGGAAAGGGAGAGGTTTCCAAGCTGAGCCATGCTCGCTCAGGAATTCTGGGGGTTGAAGTCCACAAGTCATGAAGGGGCCATAGTTCTCCCATGCTGGCTCAGGAATTCTGGGAGTTGAAGTCCACGAGTCAAAAAGCGGCCTAGGCCTAGGCCAGAGGTAGGCAACCTTGGCCCTTTTATGACTCGTGGACTTCAACTCCCAGAATTCCTGAGCCAGCATGGCTCAGCTTAGAATCTCTCCCTTTCCTCTCAGAGTGGCTGGCTCAGGAATTCTGGGAGTTGAAGTCCACCCATCTCTGAGTGGCCAAGGTTGAGAAATACAGGCCTAGGCCAGAGGTAGGCAACCTTGGCCCTTTTATGACTCGTGGACTTCAACTCCCAGAATTCCTGAGCCAGCCATGCTGAGGGGAAAGGGAGAGGTTTCCAAGCTGAGCCATGCTGGCTCAGGAATTCTGGGAGTTGAAGTCCACAAGTCATAAAAGAGCCAAGGTTGCCTATCCCTGGTCTAGTTTAATGAAAAGAAGGACTAGGGGAAACACGATAGCAGTGTTCCAGTATTGGGGGGTGGGACAACCTATTCCCCAAGCACAAAACCCCTGTGTGTTAAACCTGCATTGTTTTTCTCTGGCGGGATTTTCGTTTTCTTTATTTGGTGCACACAAAACTTCTAAAACCACAACGGCCCATACATTAGCCTCAATTGCACGCATACTGGCCTCGCCTTAACTGAATTTTGGCTTGCACTAACTGCAGCCTGGTATTGATTTACAATTTGCACAAACTCAAATGTCACATTAATCTAAGACACAGCTCCGGCAGGAGCCTACCTTTGCTCAAATGTAGATAATTATTAATGGTGACAAATTAAATCTGAAGCTCTAAATCACCCAGGACTTGCAGAAATAAAATGTGAATGTTTCCCTTTTGTGCCTTTTATTAGCTTTAGAGAGCTATAACCGATTTGTGCGATTGATCGGTCTGGAGGAACTAGTCTAGGTGCTTTACATAAGAGTTTAGGTTTGTTTGCCTGGAAGGCAAACAAGCTTTTTGCTTGTCAAAAGCTGAGCCTCTAAAAGTCCATTCTCGCTGATAAGATTATACTCTACTAATTCCAGAATGTGATGCACGGCTGGTGCCTCTTGGCATTCATTACATGTTAAGTTATATCAATCGTAAACCAATTGGATTACAACAGCAGACAGCCTGGCTCTGCTGAAGACTTTTAATATTATCTCAGCTGTCTGAAGTTAAGGCCATAAAAGATACTGTTGCTGCTAAAAATAAGCCCCTTTGGTGAGAAATTTGGCCTTTTTATTCAAATGGAGCAGACGTCAAGACGACCACAGCAATCAATCAAAGCTGCTCCTTTTTAAAATGCAGGAAGGCTTTGATCATACAGCTGCCATTTTGACTTTTTTGACCCTCCCTGAGTGCACGGACAGGCATCCAGACAAGGAAATTCCACTTCTCTCCCCCCCCCACTTGCTCTCTTGTTTTCCGCCCACCTGTCTTTTTGGTTGTCATACTGATGTATTTGTTATCGCTGTTTTCTTTTATCATTGTATACTTTATTGTTCTATTATTTTACACAGCTTTTCATTTTTCTTCCTTTTTGTCATTGTCAAATGCCTAAAGTAGGCCCACAGTGAGATGGGCTGCAAAGAAATTGTGACAGATACATACATACAGGTAATCCTCGGCTTATGACCACAATTGAGCCCAAAATTTCTGTCGCTAAATGAAGAGGTTTAAGTGAGTTTGACCTTGCTTTATGACCATGGCTGCTACAGTTGTTAAATGAATCACTGCAGTTGTTAGTCGCCCGGTTGTTAAGTGAATCCGGCTTCCCCCGTTGACTTTGCTTATCAGAATGTCACAAAAGGGGATCGCGTGACCCCCCTGGGATACGTGGCAAGGGTCGTGTGAAAACTGGTCACTTTTTTTCAGTGCCATTGTAAGCGGTCACTAAACAAACTGTTGTAAGCAGAGGACTGCCTCTAAATAAAAAAGGAGAGAGGCTGGAACTGCACTGGCTGTTATTTAGTTGAAAGGAAGAAAACCTGCCACCGGTCGCTTCATATTTGGAATTAGGGTCAAGAGGTCCAGTTTCACAGACAGAAGAACCTCAATGTGATATCTCCATTGTTTTTCCAGCTGCCTTACCTCACCATCCGAGGACTTCAACCACCACATCTAGTGATTGTGGGTCTTTGACCCCCAGCTGTCCACACCACATCTTAGCTTGGCAAACTGGGTGAGTTTTGGGACCCGTGGGAAGGGGCAAGGAGGAAGAGGGGACAGAGCTGGGCATGGATGCCTCTTGTCATCCCACTTTTTGTAGATACCATCTAGGTCAGTGGTTCTCAACCTTTTCTTCACCACAGTCTCCCCCCCTTTAAATAGAGCCGTGATGGCGCAGTGGTTAGAATGCGGTACTGCAGGCTAACTCTGCCCACTGCCGGCAGTTCGATCCTCGCCGGCTCTCGGTTGACTCGGCATTCCCTCCTTCCGAGGTCAGTAAAATGAGGACCCAGATTGTTGGGGGCAACATGCTGACTCTGTAAACCACTTAGAGAGGTCTGTAAAGCATTGTGAAGCGGTATATAAGTCTAAGTGTTACTGCTGTTGTAGCCACGGACCATGGCCGTAGACACTCCCCCCCCCCAAAGACTTAACTCAAGATTTAAATCACATTTCTTCCAGCCTTTGAAGACCGCTTGTGACATTGCGGCCCCCCCCCCAGGGGTTGGTGGACCACAGGTTGAGAACCACTGTTCTAGGCTACCCAGATGTTTACACTGAGTTTGATCCCTACTGTGGCACCAAGCTGATTCGATGATCTTTTATTAACATCTGTGCATGTGTATTAGTCTCCTGCCTTCCGGTAGAATTAGTCAAAATGAGAAAAAGAAAAAAAAACAAAGCAAAAATGGGATGATCAAGAAAAGTAGGGATGAGGAAGGTACTAGCAGCGCACTCTCTGAATTAATAGCTAGAGTCTCTGTATACGTGTAAAGAAGAAAATGGGGGGGGAGGGAGGAATCCCATCAAAATAACGATCCAGTTCATATTTCCACAATTGTCACTCTGTGAAAAGCCATGGTGTGGCTGCCTTAGGCAGGGTGTCTTACATTCACAGTGGTGTTTCGAAGCAAAATGGTAAAATTTTGCATGCTCCAACACATATGCTGCTTGGGCCATAAATTTCACACGTCCCATAAAGAGGGTGATCTCCCAAGTTTTTAATCTATTAACACAGTGGTTCTCAACCTTTTTAATGCCGCGACCCCCAATCGATCGTAAGTCGAGGACTATTCAACCGGTCGTAAGTTGAGGACTACTCAACTGGTGCAGCACCGTTTGCAGAATGGGACTTTTGGCTGGCTCAGCAGGGCAGAGACAGCCTGGACAATTCCTATTGGCTTTTGAAAGCCAATAGAATTAGACTCTATTCAAGAGAGCCTATTCTATTGGCTTTCAAAAGCCAATAGAATAAAAGGGAGTAGCACAGCTAAGGAAAAGGGGGAAAAAATGGTGGACTGCGTTGTTTGGCGACCCCCGTGAAATGGTCGTTCGACCCCAAATGGGGTCCCGACCCACAGGTTGAGAACCACTGTATTAGCACCATTTTACTGTCCTTTGGAAAGGAGTTTTCCAAAGGATGAGCCAGTTTTCCCGATTTTCTGAATATTGTGACCCAGCTCATGTCCAGAGTTTCAGGAGAAGGGATCTGCATGTGAATTTTTCCAACAGTTGATCTGGGCTAAATGTACAGCTGATTGCTAGAAAAAAAATAAATCAAATAATAATACATGATTTTGCGCTCTGGGGGGGGGAACAGGAATAAAAAACAGAGAGCTTTTTTATTAGTCTAGGACAGTGTTTCTCAACCTGAGTCACTTTAAGAGGCGTGGACTTCAACTCCCAGGATAATTCTGGGAGTTGAAGTCCACGCCTCTTAAAGTGAGCCAGGTTGAGAAATACGGTCCTAGGAACTGCATCGTCTCATCTGGCAAAGAAATATCCTTTTTTTTTTTTTTTTCACTTCTTAACACCCTTCATCAAGTCTTCCCGTGCAACTCCCGGCGTCCCAAACGTAGCAAATTCCCCTCCATCACTAACTCCCTTTTTGAGATGACTCTCCAACTCGTTTTGCGACAGGGTGAATGAGCTCTTCACGAAATCGTGTGTCCCTGCTTTTCTTTTTAACATGGCTGATCTGCTCTTTCTTCTCCCCTTCCTTTCTCTCTCTCTCTCTCTCTTTCCTTCTTTCTCTCCCTGCTTTGTTTCCGCTTTGCTCAGAGATGCCAGGGACAGCTCACCCACTATGGATGAGTCTCCATCTCCAACTCAACCAAGTACTGATGATTAGAGGTATAGTGGGGTGGGGGGGGGGGAGGATTTTTTTTTTTTTCCTACTCTAAAACCATTTCATCTCTGCTGTGTTGTCTTGCCCTGTTCCTTGTGTCTCGGACTTTGCACAACCGTTGTCGGGTGGAGGGGGACCTCCAAATAATATAGGGAATTGGATTAAAGCAGAGTTTCTCAGCTTTGCCCAGTTGAAGATGGGTGGACTTCCGAGTCCCAGAATTCACAAGCGGCTGGGGAATTCTGGGAAGTGAAGTTCATCCATGCTGGCTGGAGGATTATGAGAATTGAAATCCACCCATGCTGGCTGGAGAATTCTGGGAGATGAAATCCATCCATGCTGGCTGGAGAATTCTGGGAGATGAAATCCATCCATGCTGGCTGGAGAATTCTGGGAGATGAAGTCCACACCTCTTCAAAGGGCCACGGTTGAGAAACCCTGGATTAGAGATTGCAACGCAAGAAAGCAGAAGCTCAAAGAAAGAGGCTTGGTCAACTTTATAGACCAGAATCTGCAATATTGAACTATAATAACTAAGAACGGAAAGGTTGCGTAAATCTGGGCTCCTGCGTAGAGAAATCACAATTTCTTTCTCTTATCCTGAGTAAACAGAATGACGTATGCAGAATTGGGGTCCTGCTGGTGCCACAACCAAGATCCCCTAAGATCGGCAGAAAGAAACTTGGTGGGCAAAATGTTATGCGTAGCAGTGTAGCAAAAGAAATAAACAGGGAGCCCTTTAGCTTTGCTCTAACACAGTGCCACAAGTGAGCTAGTAGTGTAATTGTTGTTGGAAGTGACCCAAACCAATTCTGAAACCGCCCCATAAGCATGTTTCATCCTTGAAGTGCATGAATTTGGCCGTGCATGCCTCTCTCCGTACTTGCTTTCCTTTCTTCGGTGTGTCCTTCAGCTCTTACACCCATCTCTGGTGCTCTCTCAGCTTGGCGCTTTTCTTGCTGACCTTAACATTATCATGCTAGCTAGCACTGATGATGTTACCTAGTTTGGTAATGAAACGTCTGCAAGAAGACCACCACACTCTTGAGGGTGCCAAGGATCCCACAGTCCAATCCTGAGCTTCAAATGTTTTCTTCTGTTGATACAATCGTCTCTCCCAAGTGCTGAACGTGTCTGTATTTATATAAAACCACACAGGGCGCAGGAAAAAGAGGAATAATGAATGCAACATTTAAGTTAAAAAAAGGTCTCTTCCCACCAAGTGTCCAGATGTGAGGGCGATCTGGCTGCAACATCTGTCACCCCATTGATCTCCAGGGTTGGGTACCAGTGCTCCATATACCTTGTCTTGGCTTTTTCCTGACAGCCTGCATCTCTTTCTTAGCTTGTTCTTAAGATTGTAATTAAAAACATAAACCCTTCTAATAAAGTAGGAAGTCAAAATCTTGATATCTGAAAATGGCTCTAAACCCGAGGCATTTCTTAGATAGTAAAAAAAAAAAAAAATGGCCAGTGACAGCAATCTGGAGCTTTGATAGGAAAGGTCCACAATTTAGTGAGAGTCAGGGTGGGATGAGAAGACCATTGTGGGATCTAGAAGTGGGACTAGAGACAAGGACATCTGCCTTCTCCAGGAGGGATGTGGACCATCCTGAGCTAGTGAATGCTCCAGGGTGATTGTAGCTACTCCCAATAGCAGCCAGTGAATAATCCAAATTATTGGTGATTGATAGCTTGAGCCATCCTCTGCAGCAGGGGTGGGGAACGATGGCCCTTTATGACCTGTGGACTTCAACTCCCAGCATGGCTGGCTCAGGAATTCTGGGAGTTGAAGTCCACCATCCATAAAGGGGCCGTCGTTCCCCACCTCTGCTGTACAGGCTCCAAAATGAGAAGTTCCACTGAAAAAGCCACAAGTTTAAGGGGTATGTACTTGAGACAAGCTGAGAGAGAATGCATGGTTTACCACCTCAGTGGCCTGACAATTATGGTCATCCTTCTATGACTGGCTCAATTTCATAGCCTTTGGGGGGCAGCTTTTGCCAAGCACATGCTTCCATTGTTGCTGAAAACTGGATGTAAATGCTGGTTTCCCCGCAAAAACGTCATAAATTATAATCAGATGACCGCAGGACATGGCAAACGGCCATAAAAGCTAGCCAATTGCTAAACCCCCCAAATGTGACGGGGGGGGGGAGACCGGCTATCCGAACTTCAGAACTGGGTCATAAATAGCTTTGGGGGAACCCATTGTAGCTTTGGTCCCTAAGCGATGAGTTGTAAATAGAGGACTAATGCAAACTTCCATCTCTCTGTAGGAGCTACAGCGATAGCTGCTACCTGGATTCTGCCCTTTATCCAGAACTCTCCGACGTCCAGTGGTACGGACAGGACAAAGCCAAGCCTGGGACTCTGGTGTGACCTCTTTGACCTCAGCTGTTCAGATGCATCCTTGCCATTTTGGGGGGGGGGGGAGACAAAATGAAAGAGAAAAATCACCTCACTGCCTCTCATTTGCCTTATCCAGCTGCTCGGGCGACGACTGACACCAGCTTCAAACGAAAAGCACTTTTCTTTCGCATCAGGCAAGTGAAGACGATTATCACCGAAGGAGCAACTGTGTCCGTAGTGTTAAAAAAAAAAAAAAAAACATCCTTCAGTCCCGGTTCTTCTGCACACTCGTTCCTCCTTGTGGATGTTAAGGCTAGATTAACGGGCGGTCAATTCAAACCCTTCCCGGATTATTATCCTTGTTCTTCAGCGTGGAAAAAAAAATTACTCTGATTCGAAAGGTGAAATTATTCTGCTTTGAAAGGTAAACTCGAAGCGGCAGATGTGACAAATGCCCGTTTCGGTCAAAGGCAGAAGAGCTTTCAGAGAGACCAGCCAAAATATCATCGAAGCAATTTGTGGTGTTGCCAAAGATTTTGGTAACTCGCCCGAAGGATGCTTTTCTCTAAAACGGGGGGGGGGGGTGTTTTTAAGAAGCAGCAATAGCGTTTTTGTGATGCTCTCGAGATCCTACAAAACCTTGAACAATTTCAGATCGGGGAATATAACCCAGGATCTGTTGGGGGAAAAATCAGTTGGGAGGAGGCAGGGAGAGCAGGCAAGGTTATTACAGGAGGAAGGGAAAATGTAGTCCTTTTTTGCAACATTCCTGGGCAAAAATTGCAAGACACACGTCATGGTATTGCTTGAAGAACTGTCAGCCGATGAAGCAAAAACGCCTAAAAATGCTCAGTAAGTTACAAAAAAAAAAAAAAAGCCCTCTAAATCTCGAATTAAGGGTTAAATTAAGGGAAGGTAAACTGGGATATGCTGAACATGATCTCAAAGTATATGATTATTACTAATTGTAGGAAAGGGTTTGTGACTCACTAGGAAGGTTTTAAAAAAAAAAAAAGTGTGGCTGAACTAATTTACCTTCCCTCCATTCCTAAAATGAACCATCCACCATTGTACATTTAGTCCACAACCTGATTGCCAAGACAGAAAGAGGGAACAAGTTTACACAAACACTCGAACAGTAATATTTTTACGAATCTAGAAAGCCATCCAACTTCCAAAAGGCCTCAATATTTTTATAAGAAACTAAGAGGCAATCTCTGGAGTCCCAGTCGCCCGTTCTGGGCTGACCCTCTTTGCGAGCCCAGGGATTTTTCAACAAGCCACCATCCCTGCCCATTCCTATGTTTGTCTTGAGTGTAACAAGAGCCCAAATCCATCTGGGATTTCTCTTGGGGGGGGGGAAGGCTTCATTAGCCACCCCCGATCGAGTCAGATCCTAGAGTCAAGCAGGCCAAGTCTTCGCCATGGTGCTACTTTTGTTTTTTATGCCACTGGATAAGCAGGGTTTCTGCCTTTTTTTTTTTTTTTTTTGGTGTTTGTGCGTTAGTTTGGCAATAGCAAAAAAAAAACAAAAACTCAAGTGAGAGTCCAAAGAGAACAAAAAAAAAATAAAATAAAACCCACCAACTGCTTCCATTCATAAATGCCTATTTTCTAGAAATAATCGGGTGGCAGAAAAATTAAAAAGAACTTAAAAGTGGCTCGCTTTTGAAGAAAATGGATAACGGAAGGAAGACGCAACAAGGCTGAAACGCAGAGGGCGAACGAGGGATAAAGTGGAGGCACGTTGTTGAATGAAGTACAGGCAATCCTCGACTTAAAAACAGTTCACTTAATGACCGAAGTTACGACGGCACTGAAAAAAGTGACTTGTGACCGTTTTTCACACCTACGACTGTTGCGGGCCATCCCTGTGGTCACGTGATCAAAATTCAGACGCTTGGCAACTGACTCACATTTATGACGGTTGCAGCCTCCCGGGGTGATGTGATCCCCTTTTGCGTCCTCCTAACGAACAAAGTCAATGGGGAAGCCGGAGTCACTTAACAACCGTGGTACTCACTTAACAGCTGCAATTGTTAACACTTAACAAATAGGGCAAGAAAGGCTGTGAAACAGGGCAAAATTTCATTTAACAAAAGGTCTCACTTAGCCACAACGATTTTGGGCTCAACAGTGGTCGTAAGTCTAGGGCTACCTGTGTATTACAAATAGTCCTGGACTTACGACCACAGTTGGGGATCACAATTTCTGCGGCTGAGCAAAGGGATTGTTGTGATTGTTGCACTTGATTTTGCAATCTTGGCTGCAGTTGACAAGGGAGCCTTGCGGTCGTTAAACAAATCTGGCTTCATTGATTCTACTGGTTGGAAGCCACCGGGGAAGGTTACAAATGACCTGCAACATTGAAAACATACATCGGTTGCCAAGTGCTCAAATTGTTGATCAGGCGACAGTGGGAATGTTGCGACACTCGTAAGCATGAGGACTGATTTTTCAATGCTTCGTACAGCCTCTAAAGCAGGGGTAGGCAACCTCAGCTCTTTTATGGCTCATGGACTTCAACTCCCAGAATTCCTGAGCCAGCATAGCTCAGCTTGCAAACTCTCCCCTCAGTGTGGCTGGCTCAGGAATTCTGGGAGTTGAAGTCCACGCATCATAAAAGCTAAGGTTGCCTACCTCTGGCCTGGGCCTAGGCCGCTTTATGACTCGTGGACTTCAACTCCCAGAATTCCTGAGCCAGCCATGCTGAGGGGAAAGGGAGAGGTTTCCAAGCTGAGCCATGCTGCCTCAGGAATTCTGGGAGTTGAAGTCCACAAGTCATAAAAGAGCCGAGGTTGCCTACCTCTGGCCTAGGCCTAGGCCGCTTTATGACTTGTGGACTTCAACTCCCAGAATTCCTGAGCCAGCATGGCTCAGCTTGCAAACTCCCTTTCCCCTCAGCGTGGCTGGCTCAGGAATTCTGGGAGTTGAAGTCCACAAGTCATAAAAGCTGAGGTTGTCTACCTCTGCTCTAAAGGAATGGTTGTTAAGTCGAGGATTCACTATATTAAGTGAAATATCTTTACCCAAATACAGTGGCAGTACAGGTAGTCCTCTAGCCCAAAATTTATATTGTAAAAGTGAGAAATCTGTAAGGGAGTTTTGCCCAATTTTACAACTTTTCTCATTAAGTGGATCGCTGCAGTTCTTAAATTGGCAACACCATTGTAAAGTGAAGCTGGATTCTCCATTGCCTTCGCCTGTCGGAAGGTCGCAAAAGGGAATCACATGACTCTGGGATGCTGCGACCGTCATAAATAGGAGTCAGTTGTCCAGCGTCCGAATGTAAATCACGTGACCATGAGGAGGCTACAACGGTCATTGGTGTGAAAAACGGGCATAAGTCACTTTTTCAGTGCTGTTGTAACTTCGTTCACTAAATGAACTGTTGTAAGACAGAGGCCATGGACAAATAACGAAGAGATTTTAAAAAAAAGTCAAGATGGCAGCTGCCTACCCATTCCAGACAGCAGGCGGTCCAATCTGAAGTTTGGGGGGGGGGGGGGAATTCCAGTGCTTCATTTCACGCTGATTTGCACCCAGCTTGGGCTATCAAAATATTCTCCCTTAAAACTGGTCAATAATTTACAAATCGCTTATCAAAAGAAGAAAATAACTTTTGGGTGATGTTGAACTGCCTTGCCATGTCATTAAGATAGTTCTTTACGGTTAAAGTAACTATCATCTCCCACATGCTCATGTCTTTTGTGGTTTATTGTGGTGTTTTCCAACCTCGGCAACTTTTAAGCCGTGTGGACTTCAACTCCCAGAATTCCCCAGCCAGCTTGACTGGCTGGGAATTCTGGGAGTTGAAGTCCACACGACTTAAAAGTTGCCGAGGTTGAAAAATGCTGGTTTTATAGCATCCATTAATGTCCTCTTGGTAGGGGACCAAATGAACCAGGGTATCGGAGAGCAAGAATTAACAGAATTCTCAGCTTCCTCATCAGTCTGTAATTTTCAGAGTTTTTTCGAGGGAGGGAAAGAGTTATTTACTATTTTAAAACATGCAACATACTTTGAAACATACCACTTCATGATTTTTTATTTTTTTAAAAAGACTTGACTTTTCAGTTCAATCAGCAGCTAGAAAGCTTGATTTATTATTATTATTATTGTTATTTTTAACTGGTATGCCAAATGATAAGCCAGAATGCTGGCAGATGACCAGGGTCAAATGAGAAAGGAATAAACCAGAGTTTCAGGGAGTTTTAAGTCGACTACAAAAATTGCCATGTTCTTGGGAAGGAACTGAGTAAGCAAACTCACCCCAGCTAGCAAGTTAATGGCATCAAATGGACCTCATCACTTCAACCATGTTGGGTCACAGCCAGAAAATTCATCTCTGGACCACGAGATGAGATTTGGTGTGGGACTGAACAGAAAGACTAAACCAGGGGTAGGCAACCTTGGCTCTTTTATGACTTGGGAACTTCAACTCCCAGAATTCCTGAGCCAGCTATGCTGAGGGGAAAGGGAGGTTTCCAAGCTGAGCCATGCTGGCTCAGGAATTCTGGGAGTTGAAGTCCACAAGTCATAAAAGAGCCGAGGTTGCCTACCTCTGGTCTAGGAGGCTCACTGCTTAGAACAGGAGGACTTAGGACAGGGGTAGGCAACCTTGGCTCTTTTATGACTCTATGGACTTCAACTCCCAGAATTCCTGAGCCAGCATGGCTCAGCTTGGAAACCTCTCCCTTTCCCCTCAGCATGGCTGGCTCAGGAATTCTGGGAGTTGAAGTCCATGAGTCAAAAAAGAGCTGAGGTTGCCTACCCCTGGACTAAACAAAACCCTACCCTGGCTGCAGAATTAATTTTAAAAAAACAAAACACCCACATTCTTTAGCTAATTTGCAAATAGTCCTGGGGGCGTTGTTTGCTGTGGGGAGAAAAATCGGGGTGATTTCCAATGCATTTTTATTTCTTTCAATCAAGGCACTTGTGAGCCAGTCTGGTAGTAAAGACAGAAATTTAGTAAAACAGGTTTTACTGTTTAACTCGATTCAATTATACGGAAAAAAAATTGTACATAAGAATGTTAACAGGAGATTAACAGGATCGGAGTATAACATTAAGGGGGTATCCACAGCTACTGTATACAGGCACTTGATGACCCCAATAACCCCCCACCCCACCCTTGAATTCTGCTTTTATATAGGGGAGGAGGAAGAAAAAAGGTCCTAGGTCTGAAAAAGCTTTTAGTCTATATGTAAATCCTTCCCTTCTCCTTTCCCGCTTTGTATATGCATTTGCACCATACCAAATGGTGGGTAGGGTTTATTTTTTAAACAATATTATATGCAGTTGGGTGTTGACAGTGTTGGGAAGAGGGGGGGGGGAAAGGATGTTGGTTTTGTTTTTCAATCCAATATTAGTTTTGGATACGGCAGACCCATTCAGGTGCTATCATGATGACCAGTTATACTGCTTAGTTAATTAGATATAAAGAAGGGTGCGTGTATATATATACACACACATATATATATACACATATGATTGACTCTAGTTCCACATTTTTTTAAAAAAAAAAATTCTTCTGAAATTGACTGTAAAGCATGTAAAATGATTTTGACTCCTGTACAGCAGTGATCAAGAAGACGAGATACTCTGTAGAGTTGCAAGATTTTTTTTTAAATCAGCTTTTAATTTATTCTTTTTTGTATTAAGAATTTGTATAGTTATCTTTACATTTTGCAAAAACGGTGTGGTCAACACTTCCTTATTAAAGCATTTTCAAGATGAAAAGTCTGACCGTGTCTGCAGCTTTTTTTGAACCCCTGCGTTCTTCAGCCTGTCTTATCGTTTTATTTGTTTGCCATAAACTGCCATCCCATACTGTGCAAAGTGAAAAAGTTGTTCCAATCTCCCATGCCATACAAAAATCAATGTTATTCATGAGTTGGAGTACCCATCAATTCATTTTTTTGAACTGAAAAAGCTGCTGTCCACCTCCACAGCCTTTTTGACAATTCCCTTCTATCTCTCCGTTTTCCCATCAGATTTTTTTTTTTAGCATTTTTTTTCAAGAATTGCACACCCCTAAGAGTCAATTAAAAGTACCTATTTGGAGCTCAGGGTTGAAATGAGAAGTCCTTAGGTGCTGTCTGAGCTTGGTTGTTTTCTTGCAGAAGTTGCATGACCCAACTAGTAACATCATCAGTACTAGTTCGTGGGTAATGAAACATCTGCAAGAAAACAACCAAACTTAGCACCAAGGACTCTCATAACTGCTTACATTGTCCCCCAGAGCTGCTCATGTCATTACTAAATAGTCATCCTGGTTTGGGACAGTGAAAGATCAACTAATGGTGGTCTACACAAGTTCCACACTTGCCCTTATATGTCTCTCTTGCAGAACAAAATTACAGCCTTATAAATCGCAGAGGTATTTCCGAATTATTTAGAGACCATTTAATCGCTGAAAAAAATGTAGTGAAACCACTGAAATAAAGATCTGGGTTGTAACATGAGAGCAACTTCCAATTATATTAAACCTTAAGAACATCTCAAGGCTTCTATTTTTACGGCACCATTGGCTGAGCCCGAATTGCACCACGGCCTCGCGGTTTGTGCTCTCCTTCAGTACGGTTTAGAAAGTTTTGGACTTTGGACAAAAGTAATTGCCTATCTATCCTAAGAGACTTTGAAGTCAAACATGCTTAAACAGGAAAAAGAACCAGCCAAAACATGGGTCCTTGTAGCCAAACAGATCAGTTCTGCTTTTGGATGGAAGCTTAAATGAGCATTTTTCAAAAAGAAATAAATTGCTGTCTTTTCTTCAAAGATAATGAGGCTGGGCATGAAGAAGATTTTGGGGTAACAAAGAAGCCTGTTGGATGAGAATTAAAACTTTTTCAAACCCCAAGGAAGGAAGTCCAGTTGCCTTTTGGAAAAAAGCGTTTTTGGGACTGGGGGGATAATCTCTCCAGAACTTAAGTCCCCTAACACACATCCTCAAACTTTCCCCTGCCCCCTCCCCATTTTGGGAGAGGGGGGGAATTGGGGATGCAGGAAGCAATTGTTCCCGGGCATATAAATAGCAACAAATTTGCTCAAGCTGAGCTCAATCCCTACCAACTCCATGGGCACTTCCTAGCAATTTTCCTGCTAACACCAGGCAATAGCACTAACACTTAAGACTTATATACTGCTTCACAATGCTTTTACGGTCCTCTCTAAGCTTACAGAGTCGGCATCTTGCCCCTAACAATCTGACTCCTCATTTTACCGACCTCGGAAGGATGGAAGACTTGAGTCAACCTGGTCTTGTTTCACCAGCTTGTCTCACTACTCCTAATGAAAGGGTATCCAACCTTGGCAATTTTAAACCCTTGCTGGCTGGACAATCCTCGGAGTTGAAGTCCATAGCTATTGAGGTCTCCAAGGTTGGACGCTCCTGACCTTGAGCCAACAAGGATCGAACTGCCAGCAGTGGGCAGAGTTTGCCTGCAAGACTGCATTCTAACCACTGCGCCACCCGCAGTTCTAGCATTGGCACCGTCTCCTTCCAAGATGGTTTCAGAGCTGGGAGCATCGCATCTAAGAACTAACCAGCATCAACGCAAACCCATGGTCAATGCATGCTGCCACTCACTGGTAGCAATATAATATAAACTTCCATGCCATTTCAGGCACCTTTAGAATTCCTTTTGCAAAATTGTTTCCTCTATACGTGGACGATGAACTTACAGGATGCAAATGTACAGCAGAATCCAAAATGCCCTGTTTGTTTCCACTCATGGCAAAGCTGAACCGGATCTTCCTAATCTTATTCTAGCACTTCAACCACTCCAGCTTAATTGTGGCTGTTTTTATTTGAAATAGATTTTGTTTTATTGTAAAAAATAAAATACGAAACAGAAAAAAAAATCCATACATCCAGCACTAACCATGAAAAAGAAAAAATATTGGTGTACAAAAAAAGGAGAAAAAGTGATCCAAGTATCAAATAAATATTAAATATATAGGAACCACTCCAGATGGATGCTGGGGGGGGGGGAGAGAGAGAAAAGGATAAATTCTCCCTTTTACATAGCGGGTCTACAAATAGTTATAAGCTTTCCCATCCATTTAACAAAAATACTATATTAAACAAATATTCCAGGTGAGGGGATTCCTCGCTAATAATCAAATTTAACTGCGGCACTTTAAGTTAGTAAAATGATACCCTTTGTTTCAGTTAGCTTCCAAAATATTTGCACCTTTTTTTTTCAGATTTCAGTGGCACAGAAATAAATTCTCCAGAAGTAATAGGTAGGAAAGTACGTTATAAATTAAGAAACGCAGAGCAAATACTGATTTGTCGGTTCTTGAGGAGCAGGATATTAAAAGCTACCGTTAATGAACCGACTGACTTAATAATCTAATTATTATTGCCTGTAACCATAATAATCTATTTTAAAAATCCCAGAAGATTGACAAAAAAAAGGATCAAGAGTGCTATAATGAACTATCATGACAATATTTGAGGTTCCTATTAAGTCAGCGTCCAAGTTTAATGAACCACTATACAAAATCAGCAGGAAAACAATATAGAAGTAAAACGGAGGTTGCGTGTTTTAGATCTGAACCCAGAACCGGAGCACGTTCCAAACCAGCCTTTGACCAAACAGACGTGAATTTGGATGTTAACGTGAAGCAACTCCACATTTACAAATCTTCACTCGTTTGGGCAGTACTTACCCATAGCTTTGGGTTTAGGAACAAAAAATAATCTCTCCAAGTCTATTTGTTCACCTGCATCAGATAATCCTCTGTCATTAACATGTGTTTCTGCACATCACTTCTCTTAACATGACCCCCTACAAGATTTTCTTAGAGAGTTTCCTATAAAAACCATACAAAAAAATATATATATATACTATTTTACAGAAGCTTAAACCATTGTGACTGCTTGACTAGAATGTAAGTCAGTGTTGTTCAATCTGGTCAACTTGAAGCTGTGTGGACTTTAACTCCCAGAATTCCCCAGCCAGCCCATGGGCTGGCTGGGGAATTCTGGGAGTTGAAGTCCACACAGCTTCAAGTTGACCAAATTGAACAACACTGACCTCAGCAGTTTCTTCCAAGGCTTCAGAGGCAAAGTTCTCACAAAGACTGTCCCACGTCCATCTTGCCTGGCTCCCCAAGAGCAGAAACAGGTCGTGGCGTCGTCACAATGCGTTGTACTCCACACATTTGGATGGGTCAGTGGGGAAGTGCTTCTGGCAAATGGTCATTAGCCTCTTCAAACCCTGCGGAGATGGGGGCAAACAAGGAAGTGGGTCACAATCCCAGGGCCCAAGAGCCCCTGTAGGAGGGGGGAGATGTTGCATTCACACGACTTCTGCGTGGAAACAGCTGAGATGAACAAGTCCTCAGTTCTGTTCCTCTTACCTGGATGTATTTCCTCTGAGTCTCGTCATTCAAAACATGGGCCACGTGCTTGGAGAAGATCTTCTCTCGACCGGTACGGGCATGAATGCCAACCATAGTGACGCCAATTGGCCAGGGAGCGTTTCCAATAGCCATCTGGAGATAGGCGTCGTTGGCCTGCAGAAACAGCCCGGTCAGTATCAAGAAAGAGACTGAAGGTTTTTAAAAAAGAGAGTGGGTAATCATTTGTCCAAAATGATATAGACCAGTGGTTCTCAACCTTTTTAATGCCGCGACCCCCAACCGGTCGTAAGTCGAGGACTACTCAACTGGTGCAGCACCGTTTGCAGAATGGGACTTTTGGTGGGCTCAGCAGGGCAGAGACAGCCTAGACAATTCCTATTGGCTTTTGAAAGCCAATAGAATTAGACTCTATTCAAGAGAATCTATTCTATTGGCTTTCAAAAGCTAATAGAATAAAAGGGAGCAGCACAGCTAAGGAAAAGGGGGAAAAAAATGGCGGACTGCGTTGTTTGGCGACCCCCGTGAAATGGTCCTTTGACCTCAAATGGGGTCCCGACCCACAGGTTGAGAACCACTGATATAGGGGGCTGGACTAGAAGACCTCCAAGTATTCTGTTGTTCTGTTATTCCTTCCTTCTTTCCTTCCTTCCTTCCTTCCTCCCTCCCTCCATCGCTGGAGGTTTTTAAGAAGAGACTGGACAACCATTTGTCAAGCAGGGGTTCCTCTTTTATGACTTGTGGACTTCAACTCCCAGGGCAGGGGGGGAGGGGGGGCGGGGCCAGTTTTTGGGCTCTCGGTCTGTCTCTAAAAGGTTCGCCATCACTGTCTTAATCCAAAGAAGTTCCAGATTTCAAACGTGGTGAGACTTTTTAACAACGGGGCAGTACCTTCACATATTCCCTCTGCAACATGAACTTGATAATATCCGTGATGGATTCCTTGATGTCTGCCGGAAGAGTCTAGAAAGAGATGAAGATCAAACATGGAGTGAGGCGAAGGAACATACGGCATTAAGGCAGGTATTTCAAATTTCTACCTACCGGGGCAAGAAAGAAACAGAAACCCAATTAAAGGTACGATTGATGGCAATCCCAGCTAGGAATGTTTATTTTAAGCAGGTAAGAATAAGGATTAATGCTTATATTTGAGGGGGAAAAAAAACCCTTCCTTGTATGGATTCCTCAACTTACAACAGTTCACTTAGTGAACAAAGTTACCACAGCACTGAAAAAAAGTGAAATGTGACCATTTTTCACACCTATAAACCCATGATAAGCCTTAACAAATATTTAATAATAATAATAATAAGAAGAAGAAGAAGAAGAAGAAGAAGAAGAAGAAGAAGAAGAAGAAGAAGAAGAAGAAGAAGAAGAGGAGGAGGAGGAGGAGGACGAGGAGGAGGAGGAAGAAAGGAAGGAAGGAAGGAAGGAAGGAAGGAAGGAAGGAAGGAAGGAAGGAAGGGGAGGAGGAGGAGGAAAGGAAGGAAGGAAGGAAGGAAGGAGGAAGAGGAAAGGAAAGAAGGGAGGAGGAAGGAAGGAGGAGGAGAAGTAGTAGTAGTAGTAATAGTAGTAGCAGTAGTATAGTTGGAAGGGACCTTGGAGGTCATCTAGTCCAACCCCCTGCTCAGGCAGGAAACCCTACACCATTTCGGACAAATGGCTGTCCAGTCTCTTCTTAAAAACTTCCAGTGTTGGAGCATTCACCACTTCTGGAGGCAGGTTGTTCCCCTGGTTAATTGTTCTAACTGTCAGGAAATTTCTCCTTAGTTCTAAGTTGTTTCTCTCCTTGGTTAGTTTCCATCTGTTGCTTCTTTCATTGAGCAACAGAAATTTTGGGCTCAATTGTGGTCATAAGTCGAGGACCACCTGCTCCAGCAAAACTCAATGCTGGCAACAGAAGACAGGCCAATTGGAGGTGCTGTATCCACCCCGTGGGACACAAAACACTCCAGGAACAATTTTATTTCATGACCCAGCATATATCCAGCTGTCTGTTTGATTGAGAGCCCTGCTATTACAAAGGGGGGGGGGAAATATTGTCGATAGGATGCAGTTAGAAAAGAAGACCAAAGGAAGGGGGGGGAAAAAAAAACTTTGCAGGCCTGTTACCCTTTTGCGGAGTTTTCTGAAGAGAGGTCTGAGGTAAGACTCCGTCTGCTTCTGGGTGGCGCTGTTCAGCTTTCCGTGGACGTCCCGTTTCAAATAATCTTCTCTCGCGTTCAGGTCCTTTGCCCAAACTCCAAGAAGAAACTGGAGATGGTGTAAAACCTGGTTAAGCCACTTTTCGACATGGTACACTTAATCTGCAAGCCAATAGCGCCTCTAGAGGTGTGGATTCCAACTCCCATCATCCTCAGCTAACTGGATAGTCCTGGAAGTTGGAAGTCTAGCATTCTGAAAAGCACCTGGGCTGGGGAAGGGTTAGCTAGGACAGTACACTGGAAGCCATATCCCTACAGCAGTGTTTCTCAACCTTGACCATTTTAAGGCATGTGGACTTCAACTCCCAGAATTCCACAGCCAGCATTGCTGGCTGTGGAATTCTGGGAGTTGAAGTCCACATGCCTTAAAATGGTCAAGGTTGAGAAACACTGCCCTACAGTAAGAGGGATGAGATATATAAGTGGTGTAAAAGTTTTTACAATGTATGAAATGTAAAAATATTGGGATGGTGTTATGTGAAAGAAAAGTTTGGATATTTAAAGGTAGTTAATTTTGAGAAAACTGTGGCTGGTAAAAGAGTGGTTTGAATGCAGGGGGGAAATTGAGCTTAAATAAGAATCTTGAAAACAGGACGCATAATGACTTGATATAAAATCAAGACTCTCGGCAGCTGATCAGCAAGTTTACCGTTTTGAGGGATGTCTTGTTTGGCTTTTTACCTTCAAGAATTTAGTGATGATATCCATATCTTTATGGTCGTCCCCTTGACCTAAGGATTCTCCCAATGCCTGAGACAGACAGAGAAAGAAAACAAATTCAGATTTATTTCCAACAGTAGACCAGGATAAAAATGTACAAAACTCAACAACATTTTTATTTTAGGGATGAGAGTCAATGCAAGCAAGGATGTACTGGCTCTGGAGAAGACACTCTTCAGTTCTGGCGTTCCTTAAAAAAGGCGGAACCTTTTTTTCAAAATTTTATACAGGACAGTTATGAGAACACCCAAGATGGTTAGAGGATTGGAGGCTAAACCATGATGAATGGCTGCAGAAACTGGGTATCTCTAGTCCAGACCTGTCAAACACAAGGCCCGGGGGCCGGATGCGGCCCGCAAAGTGGTTTCATGTGGCCTGTGAAGCCATCCTGGAAACAGTGAGGGAACGGCCCCTGCTGCCTTGGCCCTGGCCCAGGCCAGCCGGGAGCCAATGTACAATTTTGTGGTGGCCATCTATGCTGAAACACATTCAGTCTTAGCTCTACAAGGCCATCTGGAAACAGCGAGGAACCAACCCCTGCTGCATCGGCCCTGCTCCCTGGGTGCATGCTGGGGAGGTGTCACCCTTTGTGAGGAATGAAGAAATGCACCATCGCCTGGAAGTGGCCAGCAAATGGCCCTCGCCTACTTCACATATCCAGCTTGATGGGCTCTGCCCCAGTCCCACCTCCTTCTGCCAGAGACCCTCAGATCTATCCCACTCCTGCCCAGGCCCCCACAGGTGCCCTTGACGTGAACGATGTAGAGCTGGCCACGCCCACCCAGTAGGCCACACCCACTCCATCCACGCCCACCAAGTAGGCCCCCCCCCCCAAGGGCAACCCCAATGCTGATGCGGCCCACCATGAAATTGAGTTTGACCCCTCTGCTCTAGTCTAATGAAGAGAAAGGGTGACATGATAGCTATCTTCCAGTATTCTTGGCTATCACAGGAAAGAGGAGGACAACCTATTTTCCAAAGCATCCGAGAGCAAGGGAAGAAGTAACGAGTGGAAGATCATTAAAGAGAGATTCAACCTAGAATTAAAGAGAAACTTCCCAACAGTGAGAACAAATACGCAGTGGAATGGCTTGCCTCCAGAAATTGTGGGTGCTGGAGGTTTTTAAGAAAAGATTGGACAGTCACTTTTCCAGAATGGTATACAGGGCAGGGATAGGCAACCTTGGCCCTTTTATGACTCGTGGACTTCAACTCCCAGAATTCCTGAGCCAGCATGGCTCAGCTTGGAAACTCTCTTTTTCCCCTCAGCATGGCTGGCTCAGGAATTCTGGGAGTTGAAGTCCACGAGTCATAAAAGAGCCAAAGTTGCCTACCCCTGGACTAGATTGTCAAGAGGATAGTTGCTCCTATGGACTAAATCCCAACCAAACAAGGCACACCTTGTCAAAGCAACAGGAACAGAAATTCCTACAAGGCAGAGTTTGTCTGGTTCTCTTTTGCTTGGTCCAACTTATCCGTGTGAATAGGCATTATCCCCGGCCAAAATGTCACCCAATACCTCTAATTCTTCAATGGTCGTGTTCTCTTCGTGGACTTTGAGGTCGTTCTGTGCGTCATCCTCGCCTTGTTCCTGCCCACCAACGATCTCGTTCAGATATTCATGATCAATCTTATCTAAAGCAGCCTTCAGATCATTTCTCAATCCCTACAAAAAAAAAAAAGGGAAACTATTTAAGGAATATGTCAAATGAATTGGAAGAGCTACACAAAATTCAGACTAGATCAGGGGTAGGCAGCCTTGGCTCTTTTATGACTGGTGGACTTCAACTCCCAGAATCCCTGAGCCGGCATGGCTCAGCTTGGAAACCTCTCCCTTTCCCCTCAACATGGGTGGCTCAGGAATTCTGGGAGTTGAAGTCCACGAGTCATAAAAGAGCCAAGGTTGCCTACCCCTGGACTATATTGTCAAGAGGATGCTCCTATGGACTAAATCCCAACCAAACAAGGCACACCTCAGGGTGGCTGGCTCAGGAATTCTGGGAGTTGAAGTCCACGAGTCATGAAGGGGCCATAGTTTCCCCCATGCTGGCTCAGGAATTCTGGGAGTTGAAGTCCGTGAGTCATAAAAGAGCCAAGGTTGCCTACCCCTGGACTAGATTGTCAAGCTGGTAATCTTTAGTTGTATAGAGGCAGTCCTCGACTTACAACAGTTTGTTTAGTGACCGTGCAAAGTTACAACGGCATTGAACAAAGGGACTTATGGCCGTTTTTCAGAGTTACGACCGTCACAGCATCCCCACGATCACGTGATCAAAATTCTGGCAACTGACTCATAACTGCCGTGATTCACTCAGCAACTGTGGCAAGGCAGGTCGTAAAACAGGGTGGAACGTAGCAACAGAAATTTGGGGGTCAGTTGTGGTCATAAGTTGAGGACTACCTGTCCTTTTAAGGAACTCAAGACAGGTCTTCACCTTTAGCCAAAATCTTGGAGCTACCCAAGATCAGTGTCAGGATGACATAAAATACGCAATATATAGGATCTGGCACATCAGAATCTGCAGAACTGCAGTGCTCCTGCATCTAAAGTCCTTCACGTAAATCTGACAGAAACACATAATGGCCCCATGCCTAAACCTTCGTTGTGTCAAACCATAAGCCACAACTTAAACATTCATTCTCTTTTTAAAATCTCCATGTAAACTGCAAAGCCAATACACAGAGCAAGGGATGAAAAGCAGGCACAATTTCATTACGCTTTTCTCTCAAATCATCCACATACTCATGACGACTCTGGGCAAATTCCAAATAAACAAGCCCAAACTGACTCTCTTATGAACTCGGTTCTGAAGACTTTGTACCAACCAGTTCCTAAGCAAGAGAAAAGGTGTGCTGTGTTTCACCAGGGAAGCAAAAAAGGTATTATAAATAAAATATCGTTTTGGTAATATACTGACAGATCCTTTAAAGCTGTGGAGAGAAGAAAGAAGTGGTTGTTTATAGGGCTCCTGTATAAATTATTTCAGCATTTAATCTACCTTAATGAACAGGCTTACCTTGTTCACTTCCGGGGCCAGAATTTCTATTTTTCGCAATCGCTGAAAGGCATCATAATCTGTTTCCCCAAACAGTCTGACGGGCTCCCCTCTTTCTCTCAGTCTCCTAATGACCTGAAAAAAGTCAGCAAAATTCTCCGATATGCCAACTGGAAAACACCAATCTATACGTTTGTGGAAGGGAGGGGCTCCATTTAGGTGAGCGCTCTATACTGAGGAACATCAAAGGCATTCAAGAAACATCACAATTGGGGGATTTAACTCAGGAGAGGGTTCATCTCAAACATGGATGGATGATATAGATAGAGAGATGATTGATAGATCAATGAGAGAGAGAGATGGATGACAGAATAGATAGACAGGCAGATGAGATAGATGATGATGACGATGATGAAGAAGATAGGCAGGTAGATAGATGAGAGAGAGAGAGAGAGAGAGAGAGAGAGAGAGAGAGAGATAATAGGTAGGTAAGTAGATGTAGATAGATAGATAGATAGGTAGATAGATAGATAGATAGATAGATAGATAGATAGATAGATAGATAGATATAGATAGATGTAGATAGATAGAGATGATAGATGATATAGAGATAGATATATAGATGTAGATAGATAGAGATGATATAGAGATAGATGATAGATAGATATGATAGATGATAGATATATAGATATAGATGTAGATAAATAGTTAGAGATGATAGAGAAGATAGATGATAGATATAGATAGATGTAGCTAGATAGATAGATAGATAGATGTAGATAGATAGAGATGATAGATGATATAGAGATATATAGATGTAGATAGATAGTTATCGATGATATAGGATAGATGATAGATAGATATGATAGATGATAGATATAGAGATAGATATAGATGTAGATAAATAGTTAGAGATGATAGAGAAGATAGATGATAGATATAGATAGATGTAGCTAGCTAGCTGGATGGATGGATGGATGGATGGATGGATGGATGGATGGACGGACAGACAGACAGATAAAGAGGGAGGGGGGGAGAGAGAGAGAGAGAGAGAGAGGGAGAGATAGAGCCACAAGCTTAATGTGGAATTTCCAACATCACCTCTGCGGCATCCAGGCAATCCTAATAAGATAAAATTGGGGGCGGTTCCAGCCTACTGCTTCACCTGCCTCCTGACCTAGGAAGCCTTGTCCCGATGACACAAGATTAGCAACTTGTGGTGCTCTCAAAACTCTCCATCCTCTCTGAGAGTACATGACAGGCAGGACAACAGTCCCAGGGGGATGAGTGGCCCACACCAAGTACAAAGTGACGGTAGCTAAAATAGGAGCACGTCCAAATCCTTTGGCTTTACCTCTTGTCTAGAAAGAGTCATGGGCAACTTCTCCTCTGCCAGCTCCAGCTCCAGCACCGGATTTGAAGACGCTGGGTTTTCGTCCTGTTCTGCCTCATCATTGACCTAAATAGTGTTGAGGAGTACAACATAACCCACAGCTTTAAATATGAACACAGAACATGGATATCCCACACCTAATAATGAGCAGCCGGGCAGAGAAGCAGAACTTCCTCTAGAACGCCCAATAAAATCGCTGAGTTAGCACTTCTTTTGTTTTTAGGACTGCATCATTGTTCCAGGCTGAGTCAGGCACTACAAATGATGCAAAAACTCCACCCAGTTTAGAACAGGGGTCTTCAAACTTGGCCCTTTGATGACTTGTGGACTTCAACTCCCAGAATTCCTCAGCCAGCATGGGGGAACTATGGCCCCTTCATGACTTGTGGACTTCAACTCCCAGAATTCCTCAGCCAGCATGCCTGGCTGAGGAATTCTGGGAGTTGAAGTCCACAAGTTATCAAAGGGCCAAGTTTGAAGACCCCCTGAGTTAGAAGGTAAACACTTCTGGACCAGCTTCACGAAGGACGTGGACTATCGGGAAAAAAATTAAAAGTAAATATTTTTGTAAAGGGAACCGGTTAAGATTTGAGAGTCGATGCTTTCACAGTTAAGTAACCGGGGACTTTAAAAATGTACATGATTTACACATGTCACGTTAGAGAACATAAGGAGATCCACCTCTGTCACATAATTCGATTCTTGCTGGGAGGCAAACTCTGGTTTGCACCAACAAAGCTGACTAGTCCAAACATAACCACAATCTACAGCTTAATTAAAGGAGAAAGAGAGGAAAAGAATGCAAACAGAGGAGGGGGGAAAGAGATTGCCTATCAATTGGGCCCATTCCTGTTGCTTTTTCAAAAAAAATTAAAAGTACAGGCAGTCCTCCACTTGCAACCACGACTGGGCCCAAAATTGTTAAGGGAGTTTTGCCCCGTTTTACGACCTTTCTTGCCACAGTTGCTAAGTGAATCACTGCAGCAGTTAAGTTGTTAAGTGAATCTGGCTTTCCTCGTTGACTTTGTCAGACGTTTGCAAAAGGGGATTGGGTGACCCCGGGACATTGCAACCGTCGTAAATACGAGTTGGTTGCCAAGCGTCCGAATTTTGACGACATGACCAGGGAGATACTGCCATGGTCTTAAATGTGTAAAACGGCCATAAGTCACTTTTCTCAGTACTGTTGTAACTTCAAACGGTCACTAAATGAATGGTTGTTAAGTCGAGAACTACCTGGATGCCACCGAGGCAGAAATATCTCTGGATGCAAGTAACACAACACAAAAAAACCTTCTCAACTGAAAACCATTGGAGAAAATATTTAGCGTGTGTTTATAACAGGGGTCTTCAAACGTGGCCCTTTTATGACCTGTGGACTTCAACTCCCAGAATTCCTCAGCCAGCATGCCTGGCTGAGGAATTCTGGGAGTTGAAGTCCACAAGTCATAAAAGGGCAAGGTTTGAAGACCCCTGGTTTATACGTTAGACCAGGGGTAGGCAACCTTGGCTCTTTTATGACTCGTGGATTTCAGCTCCCAGAATTCCTGAGCCAGCATGAGGAAAACTTTGGCCCCTTCATGACTTGTGGACTTCAGGTCCCAGAATTCCTGAGCCAGCATGGCTCAGCATGGAAACCTCTCCCTTTTCCCTCAGCATGGCTGGCTCAGGAATTCTGGGAGTTGAAGTCCACGAGTCATAAAAGAGCCGAGGTTGCCTACCCCTGCGTTAGAATAACACAAGCTGGCACGACAGCAGCCATCATTTCTGTCCAACTGAGTGAATCCAAGATATATTTCAAAATTTCCAAAAGGTAAAGAGATCTTCAGAGAATATAAAATAATGCCCTATGTTGCGTTAGCAGGTCACAAACATAACGCATACACCTCTGAAACAGGAAGGAGGTTATGAAAACAGTGGAATTGAGTCCAAGATGGAGAAAAAGTTGCAAATCCTTCCATCAGCTGGACTTCACCGCAAGCAATGGGTGTTCACAAAAACATAAAATGCATGGTTTTCAATTCTGTAAGCCAACCAGACATTTATAAGCTAAGCCAGTGTAAGCAAAGCAAAAAGCATCTATGATGGTATAATATTATCGTATTTGTGCACTGGGTAACAAAGGTGTACACGCAAAGCACTCTGCATCATTCAGATGAACTGGAACATCTCAAAAAATATGTTTCATTAGAACATTTCCTTAGGAAATTGATTTTGTCTACACTATTAGCCTAACTGGCCTAACTTTTTTCCAAGGTGAACTCCAAGGATTAAACCAGGAGTCTTCAAACTTGGCCCTTTTGTAACTTGTGGACTTCAACTCCCAGAATTCCTCAGCCAACGTGCCTGGCTGAGGAATTCTGGGAGTTGAAGTCCACACGTCACAAAAGGGCCAAGTCTGAAGATCCCTCGACTAAACTGTGATCAGTTATCTGGCCATATTGCAATACCAGAGATTCAATTTACTAAAACCAGATCTTTCCTATTAGTTATTTCTCTGTTCCTAAATATAACAAATAGCATCCATCTCTTCTTCTCTTATCATATTCCTTCAGAAGAAAAATATTCCTTCCTGGATAAACTTTTTGTCAATGATGGTTTCTTAGCTGAGGAAATCTTTTAAAACATTGCGACCTCGATCTTGGCTCATTCTGGATCTTATCCTTCCTCTTGCTACTTTTACAAGTTACTGATTTTGGATTAACTGTTCTCCACCCTACTCAGGTCACTTTTAAGCACATCTCAAAGCTTACTGGGCAGACCAATTTTTAAAATATATCTGACTATTTCTCATTTGCATGGAAATTGTTTGTGACTATGCATGTCGTATTTCAACCAGCAACATCTTCTTTTCCCTGTGGAATTTCTGGCCTTCGAATCCCATCCGACTTGAATCCAATTCCAACTTTCTACCTGTAGTTTTGAAATCAATTTTATTTTATTCATTTATTTATTTACTGTTGATTTTATTTCATAACGACCCATTTCCTCAGAGTTCCCTCTCATCACTCGGGGCAATTTAATCAATAAAATTAAGTATTAAAACCAGAATATTTTAAGATTAAAACTTCTTAAAATCTGAAATGTGTAACAACAAAGAGCAACAAAGTTGATCAGGGGACTGGAGACTAAAACATACAAGGAGCGGTTGCTGAAATTGGGTATGTCTACTTTAATGATAGCCGTGTTCCAATATCTCAGGGGCTGCCACAAAGAAGAGGGAGTCAAGCTATTCTCCAAGGCGCCTGAAGGCAGGACAAGAAGCAACGGATGGAAACTAATCAAGGAGAAAAGCAACCTGGAACTAAGGAGAAACTTCCTGACAGTTAGAACAATTAACCAGTGGAACAACCTGCCTCCAGAAGCGGTGAATGCTCCAACACTGGAAGTTTTTAAGAAGAGACTGGACAGCCATTTGTCTGAAATGGTATAGGGTTTCCTACCTGAGCAGGGGGTTGGACTAGATGACCTACAAGGTCTCTTCCAACTTTATTATCATTGTTGTTGTTTTCTATTCTAATCTAAAATGAGGACCCAGATTGTGGGGGGGGCAATATATTATTATTATTATTATTATTATTATTATTATTATTATTATTATTATTATTGGTTGCCGCTGATTCAATTGTGAAATCTGTGCCACAGATTTGGTCAGGATAACTGTAGACTGCGTTCTATGTTTCTTCTTCTACTTCCCGAGAAATGAACCTCTTGGTTTCTTTTCCTTCCATAATGCAAATTGCTAAACTAAACCACCCACATTGCTTTTGCTCAGATTGAGGTAAGAAGGGGAGGGGAAAAACCTCTTTTAGATTATCTATTTGTTTTGAAGTATCCTGTATTATTACTATTTTCCCCTAGCTGATCAAATACAAGCTGTTATAGTCCCAAAGGTGCTTCTTCCAAAAGGCAGCTGGACTTTCTTGGCTGTTTCCTTTGAAAGCGTTTCGCTTTCCATCCAATCGTTGTACTGAAGAAGCTTCTTGGTTGAGAAACAAAATGTTTTTGAAGGAAAAAAATAAAATCAAGAAAATCCAGTTGCCTTTTGGAAAAAGCAACCTTTGGGACAACCGTGACCTGGAGGACTCAGAATCTCCACAGACACAAGAATAATAAGACACAAGCTATTATTCCGTTCCCTTTGTAAAACTGTTTCTTTCCAGCCAAGGAAATACCAATCGATAGAAGGCTGGGTTTCACAGGCAAAATCAATCAAGCCAGCAATTTAACAGCTTCTGATCTTGGCTCAAGAGCAGGGCTGCTTAAATCAGGTCCACTCTGCATGCCTGGTGGGCACAACACAAAAAAAAATAAGAGCAGCTTCATTCTCAAGCAGCCTCATGCCCTGGATACAGGAAGCCAAAGTCAAAATAAAAAAAACTCAAATAGCTTCATATTCATGCACGGCTCTTCCTGCGTTGCAAACTTAGCTCGGGAACTCGTACCTCTCTCGGTGGCGTCTCACTTACTGGCTAAAGTGTGCAGGTGACAGAATGAGAGAAATAACTGGGATTAATATATTTTAATACAGGACCAAAGACAATCCGCATAACTAGACGGTGACACTGACTTGAACAGGAAGCCAATACCTTGTAACCGCATCTTTGGAAATACGCCTCTTCGTCCTTTTTGGCTAGTTCGCTGCGCTTGAAATATTTCTTATTTCCCTAAACGAGAGAAACCACAACCATATTTCTTATTTCCCTAAAAGAGAGAAACCACAGGCAAAATCTTGCATTTTTTTCCTTCAATTTTTTTTTAACAATGCATGTTTTACACACAGAGTGATCAATAAACCCTTTCCCACCTATGCAACACATGTAAAGTGAGTTGTAACATTTTAGATGTTCATATTCAATCATTCTATCCCAAAATGTATTTAAATGAGTAGTACTCTATTGGGAAACGTTTTGTTGAAACGAAAGTAATTTTATAGGTGTTGCAGTATAAAATGTGGTGAAGACTTGGTTACAATCTGCTTCTGGGAAAAACACACGAGGGGTGTTTTAAACCGGAATGACACATTTTCAAACAATACCTATTCCTGTGGGGTCCTTGAGTTTGTTTTCTTGCAGACATTTCATGACTCAACTAGCTAACATCATCACTGCTAGAGAGGGAAGTTTGCTCTTACTAGTTTGGTAATGAAACGCCTGCAGGAAAACCACCAAAATCAGAAAGCACCAAAGACGCCATGTCAACCATGAGCTACAAATATCCAATCTCCCCGTAGTTTTCTGACCTACACCCAGTAGTCCCTTATCAAAACAGGCTGGATTTACCAATAAAAGAGAATATTTGCAGCCAGGGTTTAAACGAGGGGTCCTTGGTGTTCTCTGAGCTTGGACGTTTTCTTGCAGATGTTTCATGACCCAACTAGGGAACATCATCAATGCTAGGAGAGGAGTTTGCTCAAAGATTTGAATTGTGGTGTTCTCTGAGCTTGTTTTCTTGCAGACCTTTCATTACCTGATTAGGTAACATCTTCAATTTTAGAAGGAGTGGAGTGTGTGGAGAGGAGGACTGTGGGGTCTTTAATGCTCTCTTGAGCTTGCTTGTTTTCCTGCAGACATTTCATGACCCAACTAGGGAATATCATCGGTACTGATCAATAGTACTAAGTAAAACCATCAGTGCTTGAAAGGAATGAGGTTTGCAGGGGGGAGGAGGAGGGGGAGGAAGAGGAGGGTTATTATTATTGTGCTCTTCTTGGTACTCTCTGAGCTTGGTTGTTTTCTTGCAGATGTTTCATGACCCAACCAGGTAACATCACCAATGCCAGGAGACAGTGGGGTTTGTGGAATGGAGGAGGAGGAGGAGAAGAAAAGGAGGAGAAAAGGAGGAGAAGGAAGAGGACTGTGATGTCCTTGGTGCTCTCTGAGCTTGGTTGTTTCATTGCAGACGTTTCATGACCCAACCAGGTAACAACATCAGATTGTTGGATTTGGACATCCTGCTAGGCCAGAACCAGGCAGGTTAGCTTGTGGCTTCATGTGCTCTTTGAGGGCTTCTTGAATGAGTTTCTGATTTTTTCTTTCTTCAGCTAAACCATGCTGGGCTTCAATGGTTAGCTGGCCTAGACTCTGGTATCTGAAGGTAGATCTTTTTTAACACTTGTATCTTACCGTGTTTTCTTAATCAAGGCAAAAGATTAATATACTTTGCATATTAGCACTGGTTGCTGCGCTATGTGCTACATAGCATGGGAGGATCTGATGGTAACAAAATAATTAGCATTGTTTGCTATGCCATACGTTAAATAACCTCCTAAATATTGGTTTATTTCCTCTATAGGCCACATTTTTTTGACTCCAGCCTCTTCCTTCCAGGGTTTTCTCCTCCAAAACAGCCCTGCGAGGTAGGCCAGGTTGGGACAGGCCGGTTTCCACGGGCTCCATGTACCCTAAAAGGGAAGCAGGGAGGGGGGAACAAGCGGTCCCCCCACTTTGATACGCATTCTCGCTCTAACTAATTCGAATGTCCTCCTCCAAGGGCCTCCTAAGGCGATTTTCCAATAACAACAGCCCCGCAAAGTAGGCTAGGGTGGGAGAGGACGGCTCCCCCGGCCTCCCTGCACCCCAAAAGGGAAGCGAGAAGGGTGACAATCGGGTTCTTTCCCCTTTTAATGCCATCTGTCGCTCTAAATAATCCGAATTTCCGCTTCCAAGGGCTCCCGAAGGCGATCTCCCAACAACAACAGGCCTGCGAGGTAGGCCAGCGCTGGCCTGCTCCTTTGCTCTCACCTCCAGCAGCTCCTTCTCCTCCAGCAGCTTCCGCTTCCGCTCGATCTCCGCCTTGAGAACGTCCATCTCGCCTTTTTCCGCGGGGGAAAAAACAACCCCCCGGCCGTTTCCGGCTCGACCGGAAGTCCCGCAGCCAAACGACGGACGTCACTTCCGTACAGGAGCGCTGAAACGCGCCGCGGAAGACTCAGAGTTTAAAACTTTAGAGGGGCTTCCGGGCTACACGAGGAGTGACTTCCGAGTTCCTTTGGGAAAGGAATTGCGCCCGCACCCTTTGTTTGCCGGAGGGAAGCAAGTGGAGCAGTTGAGGTCCGCAGCCTGGCTGAGAGAGGGACATTTTAAATAGTTTTTTTTTTTTTAAATGCCATGGGTTATCCTCAAAGGATAAGGGGCAGAGGAAATATCAATCAATCAGAATTAGATTAGATAACCTTTATTGTCATTTTTTTCCCCCTGTGGGCACAATGGCACACGTTAAAAATGAAATTTAGTTGCTCCCTCTCAAAGTGAAACACATACATGACACACATTTAAAACATACTATATACAACATATGTGTAGACCTACATCCTTACATATAAGTAACATACAAATAGAGCTGGAAGGGACCTTGGAGGTCATCTAGTCCAACCCCCTACTCAAGCAGGAGACCCTGCACAGGTAGCCCTCACCTTACAACAGTTCATTAAGTGACCATTTAAAATTATTACGTAGAAGCACTAAAAAAAAGTCACACTTTTCACACTTACGACCTACCATCACAGCATCTCCATGGTCACGTCATTACAATTCGGACATTTGGCAACTGACTCGTACTTATGACGGTTGCAGCGTCCCGGGATCACGTGATGCTTTTTGTGCAACCTTCTGACAAGCAAAGTCCATGGGGAAGCCAGATTCACTTAACAACCATGTTGCTAGCTTAACAACTGCCGTGATTCACTTAATAACTGTGGCAAGAAATATTGTAAAATGGGGCAAAACTCACTTAACAATTGTCTCACTTAGCAACAGGGCTCAATTGTGGTCGTAAGTTGAGGATTACCTGTATTATCCTTGGGTTGCAAAGGACTCGAGCGTGTTTTATGTCACATTTGAATATTATCACCATCTCAATTTTTGCTACCATGGTGTGTTTCCTTAATGAAATGCAACCGTGCAGACACTTGATTGCCTGCTCTTGCAAATGCAATTGAGCAGAACATGATGCGGGCTGCAGAAATATTGCACATTTCTGAATTTGTTTTTAAAATCCCAAAATTATTGACCCTATCTGGGAACCAAACAGTCAAACCAAAGATCTCCAACCCATCCACCCACCCACCCTTTAAGGTGTTAGCATCACTCAAGGATCAGGCCAGGTCAGTAATTCTGCATTTATTTATTTTAAAATTTGCTTATCTTCCGGAAATCAATCTCAACTCTTCAACTTGCTTTGTCCTGGTGCAAAAATGTGGATGACCCCCAGGTGGTAGCAGGGAGTTCTCCATGGCTCTGCTGCCATCTGGGGCTCACCTGAATTTCTGCAGTCAACTTCTGCTGTCTTCATAGTCGAGTCCATGAAATTTTCTTAGCAATATTTGGAACAACAACAACAAAAAATCACTCTACAATTCATTTGCAAAAATAATCAGAAGGGAATTAAGATGAGATGCATCTTTCTTATACTTTTTATGCACCTTCCTTCCTCTTCTGTGACTGAAAGAAAAGGACTGACCCCAAATAACCGAGTTGGCTTTCATGTCTAAGTAGCATCCAAACTCAGATCTCTCCATTGCTGGCCTTTAACACACACCATCCTGAATCACACTTCCCTGCCTTTATTGTGCATAAATACTTAGATTGCAGAATGCACTTTGCACATGCCCAGAGTTCCACCCCGCCATATTCAATTATATTCAGTTATCCATCAACCCATGACTATCTGATCTGCAGTGCCAGTTTTAATAATAATAATAATAATAATAATAATAATAATAATAATAATAATAGGTTGGAAGGGACTTTGGATGTCATCTAGTACTGCAGGCCACTTTAGCTGACTGTGTTCAGCAGGTCAGCGGTTCAAATCTCACCGGCTCAAGGTTGACTCAGCCTTCCATCCTTCCGAGGTAGGTAAAATGAGGACCCAGATTGTTGGGGGCAATGTAAATATATATATACATTGCTTACTGGTGTACACCGCTTAGAGAGTGCTTGCACTTAAAGCGGTATACAAGTCTCATAAATAAATAAATAAATAAATAAATAAATAAACCCTATACCATTTTGGACAAATGGTTGTCCAGTTTCTTCTTAAAAACTTCCAGTGTTGGAGCATTTACCGCTTCTGGAGGCAGGTTGTTCCACTAGTTAATTGTTCTAACTGTCAAGAAGTTTCTCCTTAGTTCTAGGTAGCATTTTTCTACCTTGGCAATTCTAGGAATTGAAGTCCATTGTCTTAAATTTGCCAAGATTGAGAAACATAGAGTTAGAATATGTGTGCTCCACATATTAAAGTTATTAGCATGTTATTTCTTGTTATTTTAGCAACTGCACTTATTTTAATCTGGACACTACTTCATACGCCATGTTAAGTTGCGCAGCCTTATAAATTATAAATATACTATTTTTTTTTTAAATGTTCCTTTTTCTTGCTGTACCCATTAGATTTGAATCAGCTTCATTCTATAGGGTCAGCAATTAAACATAAAAAAAAGACTTCCTTTTCAAAAAGCTGACGGTCATCTTAAAAAGTTCTTCTTTCCTTCAAGGGCTTTTTGCAAATCACCCAAAATAGCATGTGGTTGCTAGGTTTATTTAAGGAACTGCATTTAAAACACCACAGAAAATATAGGTTTTCAAAAAAGAAAAAAGAGGCGCTTTAAAATGTTCTGCTTTTAGTTGCTCTCAAAGACGCTCATAAATAGGGCTTTGCTTGATATATTCATTTCAGGGACTATATTTATGCCAAAATCTTTTTTTAAAAAAGATAAAACCTTAGGTGGTGACCAAGGTTTAGCCACAAGGAATATAGTACAGATACAATAAGTCTGTTCATGATTCATTTTAAGATTAACAAAGATTTGGGTTTCTTAGGGCTTTGTTTAATTTGATAATACAAACTATGGAAAAATACATAATAAATAGCTAGATAATGGTAAAGAGAGAGAAAGAGAGATGAGAGAGAGAAAGAGAAAGAGAGAGAAAGAGAAGGGATCCTTGGTGTTCTCAATCTTGTTTTCTTGCAGATGTTTTATTACCCAAATAGATAACATCATCAGTGCTATTGCCTAGTGTTATCAAGTTTGCATAATGAAACGTCTGCAAGAAAACAAGCAAGCTCAGAGAGCACCAGGACCCCTCATGTCAATCCTGAGCTACAAATATTCTCCTTTATTAGAGATATAGATATATAGATATTTATAGACAGTGCTTTTTTTCTAAAAAAAAAAAAAAAGGTGACAGAACTCATATACGTCATACAACCCGCCTTGCCTACCCTACAAGGTTCCATCCAAAAAAAGGTGCCTGAACTCCGTTCTGGGCGTTCTATGAGAAAAAAAAGCCCTGGATACAAATATAGATATATGCTCCTGGGGAGGAAAGCTATGGCAAATCTAAACAGCATACTAAAAAGCAGAGACATCACCCTGCCAACAAAAGTGTGTACAGTGAAGGCCAGTTGCAATGTATGATTGTGAAAGTTGGACCATTAGAAAGGCTGAGCACCAAAGAATGGAGGCTTTGAACTCTGGTGCTGGAGAAGACTCCTGCGAGTCCCCTGGACTGCAAGGCGATCAAACCGGTCAGTCCTAGAAGAGATCAACCCTGGCTGCTCTTGAGAAGGCCAGATCCTGAAGTTGAAACTCAAGTACCACCTAATGAGAAGGAAGGACTCACTAGAGAAGAGCCTAATGCTGGGAAAGATGGAGGGCAATAGAAGAACGGGACAACAAGACAATGAGGTGGCTGGATGGAGTCACTGAAGCAGTAGGCGTGAGCCTAAATGGACTCCAGAAGATGGTAGAGGACAGGAAGGCCTGGAGGAACGTTGTCCATGGGGTCGCGATGAGTCGGACACGACTTTGCAACTAACAACAACAGACATAGATATAGATATAGAGATAGAGAAATGATAGATGATAGACAGACACAGACAGACAGATAGAAAATTAAAATGAAAGTTGATTTTTTTTCTTTTTCAAGGTTCATTTTTCTCCCCATGGAAGGGCTTAAATCCCTGCCCATCTGCTTTTGTGCTTCATAGCCATGTTGCTTTGCTCTTAATGTATAAGTGTACAAAGTTACTTGATCTTATTCTTCTTGGTCCCTAGAAAGACCAATGCACATGAGAAATGAAAGCTGGTCTATTTTACAATGGGTGACAGGGCCATAAAATTATGATCTAGAACAGGGGTGTCAAACTCGCAACGTCACGTGATGTGTCGCGACATATCGTGACTGTTTTGCCACTGCCGGCAATGGGGTGTGCGCGGTTTTGCTATGACGCATCCGGCGTGCGGGCCGGCAGTTTGACAGCCTGATCTAGAAAGAGTTGGGAAACTTGCAGCATCCGCACAATGAAAACAAAAAAAGCATAGTTATAGGGTAAGAATCTAACATCTGGCTCCTGCTACCATGTAGAATTCAAGTTCCCGTAGGTCATTACTAATTTAGTTGACTTTGATGTATTATTGCTTTTGATCTTTCGAATCTGATTGTGTTGAAGGCAATTATGCTCATTATCCAATTTAATCTTAGAAGTTGCTCTAATGCGTACATCTCTCTTTCATGGTCCTGTTTTCCACGAAATGCTATCTCTGAAAATGTAATCTTTCCTTGACATTGGTTCCTACTGGAATTAAAACAATGTACAAAGGTGTTTCAAGCTAGATGAAATATTTGAATACACTTTTCATGCAAATAACTTCATTATTTATCAAGTTTCTGGCATACACCCTTTAATTCTGGAAGACTTAACAGGTTTTGTAAATGCCTTTGTAGATACAAATTCTTTTGCAACTCAGAAGAGGACAAGTGAGACAAGTTATTTCCTTTTATCTTTCAAATTATGGAATCGTTCATTTTTCTGTTTTCAAATCTGGAAAATTATGCAGTTATTCCGTTTCTGCAGAGAACTGTTGATTGAAGGATGGATTTAAAAAAATGGGCCACATTTATCAATAAGTCAACTGACTCCAACATTTACAGTATAACTGATCACATGACACAGAGATAAATGCATGAGCAGGTTTGATTAATATAAGATACACTTGTCTCCTTGAATTTCCTTTCTCACCCGTTGTTGCTTGCATGTTGTCTATTTCTTTAACATTTTTGTAAAAAAAGAAAAACATGGCCAAGAGAAAGAGAGAGAAAAGGACGGGAAATTTCCAAGGCCTTTCAGAAAATGTGACTTGAATACTTTTGGATCCGATTTCGATTTTTATTAGAGGGGTTTCATTTTCTCTCTCTCTTCTGTGTATATGATGAGTCAGACTGGGAAGTGAATTTTAACCTGCTGAAAAACGCACGCTTCACATCCCAACACGAATCTAAAAAAAAGAAAGAAAAAGGAAACAACAAACTAAGAAGCGCCCGCACACTTGAAGCCCTCCCTCTTTGCGCGTGTGCTCAGACACGTGTAAAAAGGGGCGAGGCTTCAGCCACGTGGGCACGGGCACCTCTTTGGTGTCTTTGCAACCCTGCCCCAATGCACCCTCCTCCCCCCCCCCTCCGCTGCATTCAAATCCTTTCACAAGAGACACCCCCCCCCCAAAAAAAAGTCTTCTCCGCTGTTTTCCCGCATCCTAGGGACCCAAACGCGTGGGCCGTCTGACAAGGGCTGTTTCAAGTGGAAGCTGACGCCCTTTGGACTCTTTACACGTGTACACAAATAAAAAAAAGGGGGGGGGGAATCGCACGGAAACGTAGCTTTGAATCCAAACTGGCTAGGTGGGCATTGGAGACCCTTCTTTTCAAAGCCCAGCGCGAAGGCTCTGGGTCACCAGTAAAGAACTGCTTGGCACAAAGGGGGGGGTGTCTTCTGGCGCGTGGACCCCCCCTCGCGCCAGTGCACCCCCAAAGCCCCTTCTCGGGGCTCGGCTCTCCCGCGCGGACCGCGCCACTGCTCCACCCATCCAGCCAGAAACGCGCTCGGACTCTCGGCCAGCCGGGGAGAGGGAGGGGGCGCGCGCGGCTCCTGTCTGGGGGGCGAGCTGGGGGACCCCCCCTTTTCTCGCCGGGGCAGCCCCTCCCCGGAGTTACCCACGCGGTCCCGCGCCAACAGCCCCGGCTGGTCAAGTCGGGCGGAGGATGGGGGGGGGGTCCTTCCAGGCTCCCCGGGAAAGAGAGAGGCAGGGCGCAAAGTGGCGCGCCCCTCTCCAGCCTCGCCTTCCCCCTTCTCCGGGACCCTTTTCCCGTTTGCTTTCCGGGCCATGCCCGCGCTTCTGCCTTCCCGGAGCTGGCGGCCCGCCCTTGCTCTGCCCGCCGGGCTCCGGAGCCGCCAGGGGGTGCGCTGTGGTGCCTGGCAGGCCGGCTTCCCCCAGCAGGTGGCACCGGGAGCCCAGGCGCGGCTCCGGCAGGGCCACCCGCGAGCCATTGCGGCGCCCTGCGCAGCCAGCCGGCCAGCCTCGTCTCTCCGAAGCCGGCCGAGCGCGCCGCTGCCCTCCTTCTCCTCTTCCGCCGAGGCCCGGAGCTGGGCGCGGGGTTTGCCAGAGCAGCGCCCGAGGCGAAGTTTGGGCTGGATGCGGCGGCGGGGAAGGCGCGGGTGGGGAAAAGTCCCGAGCCAAGTTGCCGGCGGGGCGCGCAGCAGAAGCCCCGGTGCGCCTCGGCCCGTGGAGCGCCGGGGCCGATGAGAGCCCCGCAGCCGGCTCTGCCTCGCGCGGCGGCGGCGGCCCCCGGCCCTGGCCGCTCCCTCCCGCGGCCCCTCTGAGCCTCCTTCGTCCCTTCCTTCCTTCCTTTCTTCCTCCTTCTCCTCCGGCGCGCCATGGAGTTCTCGGCCAGGAAGCGCAGCAGGAAATCTCAGAGCTTCAAACTCATCCATCCAGGTGAGTCCTTGCAGGGCCCGGGAAAGGGGGGGGGAGAAAAGGGGCGAGGGGGAGGAGGGAAAGGGGGAACCCAGGGCTGGGGGGGGGCGGGGGTCCCCTTTATGTTGCCTCTCGGGGTCCTCCTGGCAATTCTCCCCAAGTGGCTGGAGAACTTGCAAACGGCTGCGGTCCCCTCTCCGTCCCCCAAGAGATGCGCGCCCTAAAGTTGCAAAGGCGGAGAACTGGGGTTCTCCCGAGGGCCCCCCCGCGTGCAGTGTCGGGGTGAGGGGGGGGGATCCGCTTTTCTTTTAAGGTCTGCGCTCAGTCTGATCCCGGCGCCTTCCTCTGATCCAAACGCCCTCCTTCCTCCTCCTCGCCCGGCTTGGCACGGATCGGCATCACCCTGTAAAGCGCCCCTCCGAACCGGCGAATTAATTTGGGGAGGTGGGCCGGGAAATGGTTGCAATTTGGCCCGGCGGGGGTCAGGGGGGAGTCCGCTTTCCAGAAGGGAAACAGAGATATTTACCCAACAGGAAACCTCATGCAATGCCAGGCTCACTTCTTTCTCTTTGTTGTATAACAGGTGTTCTTATTTGGGGGGGGGTTGAAACTCAGTTTAATTTGACTTTAAAACATGGCTGGGAAGGGGAAGGGCTGAGCCTGGAAACAAATATCTCCAGGAACTGTATGCATGTGCCTTGAATGCTAAGTTCAAGGCAGGTAAATTGTGAGCGTAAGGTCACCATCATACTTACGATGATGATTATTAACGATTGCTGTTACTCATACTTCAGAGGCCTCAGTTCTTCTTCAGAAATATTATATAGGGTGGAAAACTGTGAGCGGGATCTACCAAATGAAAAAAAAAAAAAGGAACGTTATTGTCAGGAATCAAAAGTCACCTGAAATGTTGGCTTTTCTAAGGAGTCTAAGTGCTTGGAGTCCAAGGCTGTGTTTATTACACAGTCGCTAGGTTGTTGGGTGTTAACAATCTACAAATGATACTTCCTAGAAGGAAAGCAAGACTAATTTCTTTCTGAACTTTTTATTTCCGTTTACAACTTCTAAGTCAGTGGTTCTCAACTTTTTTAATGCCATGACCCCCCAACTGGTTGTAAGTCGAGGACTACTCAACCGGTCATAAGTCGAGGACTACTCAACTGGTGCAGCACCGTTTGCAGAATGGGACTTTTGGCGGGCTCAGCAGGGCAGAGACAGCCTGGACAATTCCTATTGGCTTTGGAAAGCCAATAGAATGAGACTCTGTTCAAGAGAGTCTATTCTATTGTCTTTCAAAAGCCAATAGAATAAAAGGGAGTAGCACAGCTAAGGAAAAGGGGGGAAAAATGGCGGACTGCGTTGTTTGACAACCCCCGTGAAATGGTCGTTCGACCCCAAATGGGGTCCCGACCCACAGGTTGAGAACCACTGGTCTAAGTGGTAGTGTAAATAAAAGGTAGTTTTAGGAAGGCCAGATATATACAGGTGGTCCTTAACTTATGACCCACAATTGAGTCCAAATTTTATGTTCCAAGCGAGACACTTGTTAAGTGAGTTTTGTCCCATTTTACGACCTTTCTTGACACAGTTCTTAAGTGAATCACTAGTTATTAAATTAGTAACGTGGTTCTTAAGTGAAACTGGCTTCCCCATTGGTTTTGTCTGTGAGAAGGGGATCAGGTGACCCCGGGACATTGCGATCGTCGTAAATATGAGTCAGTTGCCAAGCATCTGATCGTCGTAAATATGAGTCAGTTGCCAAGCATCTGAATTGGATCAGGTGGCCATGGGGATGCTGCAATGGTCCTAAGTGAGAAAAATGATCATAAGTCACTTTTTTTCAGTGATGTTGTAACTTTGAACGGTCACTAAATGAACTGTTGTAAGCCGAGGACCTGCTGTACCCAGAGAGTGCTGTGATTAATATATGTTTCCTTAAGTTCCCATCAGGTAAGGCCCACGTAATCAAATTTTCTTTTTGTAAGAAATAGTTAATTAATGCTCAAATTAAAATAATTTATATCCGTCTAGCATTTCATCTGGCTTTTCAATTTTCTGCAGACCGTTCATTGCCATAATCTGGGTGAAAATTCCTTTTGAAAGTGAAACTGAGTGAAGGCTAAGTAGGATTTTTTTTTTTTTAAATGAGGCTTTGAAACTGTGCAAGATGGATCTGACATTCCGAGCTGCCCCTTCTAATTTGCACCAACGAGCATTTATTTTTCCCATAATTGTGCATCAATAAGCATTTTCCTTGGCAGAAAGGACAGGCCTTTCTCCTTGAATCATAACAGGGGTATCAGAGGCCACCCTTGGTTGCTGTCACTTAAACAGATACACATTGCACTGCAGGCCCTGAACTGTGTAGTATCTCTGAAAAATAAGAGGCAATAATCTACTTTATTACTGACTGATAAATTATATGGAGTGCAGCATGCATAGCTGCAGCCTTAAATGAAACAGCCACATTGCTTAAAACAGTTCATGGCGGGTAAATGCTGGAGACAGTAAATAAATAGACAGACTTGGTTAATGTTTTGGTGTGCATCCTGAACCAGCTTCAATTGGCCATTTTTTAAATTTTGTATACGTCTGTGCTTGGGAATAATCTGACTGGGGAGGGCATTTTGGCTTAAAATATACTGAATAATAGCCTCTCTGGAATGTCGTAAAATGCAGTAGTGCCCCCCTTAGGAAGCCTCTGCCATTTATGCTGGCTTCGCATTGTTAGCGCTGTCAGTTGGGTCTCTTGTGAAATTCCATGAATGGATATCAGTTCTATTGGTTTATTGATCTCACCTGTCAGTCTCAGGTCACGAACCATCTCTTCTGCATTCTATGTGGCTCAATCTTCTGCATTTCCTTATGATTCTTATATATCTGTATCTAGATATATCCATATCCATATCTATATCTAGATAGATAGATAGATAGATAGATAGATAGATAGATAGATAGATAGATAGATAGATAGATATCTGTATCTAGGTCTTTGGTTGTTCGGGTTTTCTCCCGCATAAAATTATTTATTTTATAAAACCCAAACAACCAAAGACCTACATACAAATACTCGCGAAAACCTCAGAAAACAAATATCTGTATCTATATCTATATCTGTATGTATCCATCTCCATCTATCTATCTATCATCTATCTATATATATCTATCTATATCTATCTATCTATCTATCTATATCTGTCTGTCTGTCGGTCTATCTATCTATCTATCTACCTATCTATCTATCTATCTATCTATCTATCTATCTATCTATCTATCTATCTATCTCTATGTATATCTGTCTGTCTGTCTGTCGGGTCTGTCTGTCTGTCTATCTATCTATCTATCTATCTATCTATCTATCTATCTATCTATCTATCTATCTATCTATCTATCTATCTGCAATCCAACATCACATCCAAACTCTATACAAATAGCCCTCGACTTACGATTATTCATTTAGCGACCATTCAAAAGTGCAACGGCACTGGAAAAAATGACTTGCAAAACACGGTAGTCTTTCTGTGGTCATATGCTCAGAATTCAGGAAATTGGCATGTATTTATGATGATTGCAACATCCCGGGATCAGGTGAGGCCCATTGGCAACCTTCCGACAGGCGAAATTCAATAGGAAAAGCCAGATTCCTTTAATGACCCCGTGAGTTGCTTAATGACCACAGCAAAACATCCGTAAAATTGGGAGCAACTCACTGACCGGACTGCCTTGCTTAACGAGAGAAGTCCCGGTTCTGATTGTGGTTGTAAATCAAGGACTAGCTCAGTGGTGGCGAACCTATGGCACGCGTGCCAGAGGTGGCACTCAGAGCACTCTCTGTGGCACGCACGCCACCGCTGCCAGCAACTTGCACAGGTCCATTAGGCCACTGCCGCCGCCCGGAGCGGCAGCCGCACCCAGCACAAAGGAGGCGAAGCGGCCAGCTAGCAGCAAGCTTGAGTAGAGGTGGTAGAGCACGCCCACACCCAGCAAGCCCAAGGCCACCTGGAACAGGGAAAGCCGGATCCCCATCGGCGCCAGGGCCCCCCAGTCCCAGCTAGGATTGCGTGCCTCCCCCCCATCTATGCTGGGCCTCCTGCCCACCGCCCCACCTGCCAGAGACCTCCAACACTGTCCGGCCCCCACAGCTGTCCCCCCATGAGCAACATCGAGGTGGCCATGCCCACCCCAGCCACGCCCACCCAGTCTGCCGTGACAACCGCAGCCATGCCCACCCAATGAACCACGCCCACCCAGTGGGCCACGCCCCCATGCCCCGCCTGAGGGCACCACAATGCTGATGCACTTTGCGATAAATAAGTGGGTTTTGGGTTGTGGTTTGGGCACTCGGTCTCTAAAAGATTCACCATCACTGGACCAGCTCAGTTGAAAGGCCGCTGTTTAAGCCAAAACTAAGTTTGTCTGTGTTTGCCCCAATTTCTCGTTCTTGTGTTGCAAATTGCAGTGGTTCCAGTGGGAATATGCTCAGTGCTCTACGACCCCATTAACATAAAAGCGAAGTGTGCTTTGGAGAAGACAATATATATTTCAATTTATGGTATTTCCTATGTAAAATTGAAACGAGGAGGCTGACGATAGCTCTTCTAGGTATCGTGAGTGTGGCCGAGATTTAATAAGAATAAAACGTTGTAAACAGGTAGTCCTTAATTGAGGCCCAGATATCCATTGCTAAGCGAGACATTGGTTAAGTGCTCCCTTTTACGACCTTTCTTGCCACAGTTGTTAAGTGAATCACTGCAGTTTTTAAGCTAGTATCACGGTCATTAAGTGAATCTGGCTTTCCCATTGACTTTGCTTGTCAGAAGGTCGCCAAAGGGGATCACGTGACCCAGGACACTGACCGTCATAAATATGAGTCAATTGCCAAGCGTCGGAATTTTGTTCGTGTGACCGTGGGGATGCTGCAACGGTTGTAAGTCTCCCTTTTGTCACAACCGTTGTAATTTCGAACGGTCGTTAAATGAACTATTATAAGTTGAGGATTATCTGTAACGTGTTTTAAAGTCTGAAATGGTTCTGGCAGATATTGTGTTGTTGTTAGTTGCGAAGTCATGTCTGACCCATTGCGACCCCATGGACTAATTCAGACTTTATGGGAGCCCACTTCTAGACTGCATATAAAATTTTAAGTTGGAGGTTTACGGAGCTTGTTGTTGTTAGCTGCGAAGTCGTGTCCGACGCATCAGGACCCCATGGACAACGTTCCTCCAGGCCTTCCTGCCCTCTACCATCTTCTGGAGTCCATTTAAGCTCACGCCTACTGCTTCAGTGACTCCATCCAGCCACCTCCTTCTCTGTCGTCCCTTATTCTATTCCCCTCCATCTTTCCCAGCATTGGGCTCTTCTCCTTCCTTCTCATTAGGTGGCCAAAGTACTTGAGTTTCAATTTCAGGATCTGGCCTTCTAAAGAGCAGTCGGGGTTGATCTCCTCTAGGACTGACCAGTTGGATCGCCTTGCAGTTCAGGGGACTCGCAGGAGTCTTCTCCAGCACCATAGTTCAAAGTCCTCCATTCTTTGGCGCTCAGCCTTTCTTATGGTCCAACTTTCACAGCCATACATTGCAACTGGGAAAACCATGGCCTGGACTATACGCACTTTTGTTGGCAGGGTGACGTCTCTGCTTTTTACTATGCTGTCTAGATTTGCCATAGCTTTCCTCCCCAGGAGCAAGCGTCTTTTAATGTCTTGGCTGCAGTCCCCATCTGCGGTGATCTTGGAGCCCAGGAAGATATATTGTAGAACTTGTAAATATACTGTAAGATTGGGCTGCTTTAACTCTTGTGTGTGTGTCAATGTTTCTCAACCTTGGCAATTCGGAGAGGTGTGGATTTCA